AAAAGGCATACTTCGAAGCGAGCGGGCTTAGCACTTGTGGACTGTTGCAAGAATAAATGAATTTAAATCAAAGTTTAGAGGTGGGCAGGGGTCAGACCCTGTAATACTGGCCTCTGGAAGGCGAGGCAGAAGGATTGCTTGAGGACAGGGAGGGCTCCGCGCAGCTGGCAGAGTGAAATCCCCGCCGGCGGTACTAAGAAGAGAAATACTACGGCTAGAGGTGTGGTAGGGGCCTGTATTCGCCCCCCCCCCCCCCCCCCGCCGGCCCGCCCCCCCCGCGCCCCCCCCCCCCCCGCCCCCCCCCCCCCCCCCCGCCCCCCCCCCCCCCCCCCCCCCCCCCCCCCCCCCGATACTGGGAGGCGGAGGCCGGAGGATCACGTGAGCCCAGGGAAGGTTTGAGGTTTCACTGAGCTATGATGGATGGCCACCTGCAGCTGCCCGGGTGACAGAGGCTAGACGGCTGTCTCAGAAAAAAAAAGAAAGAAAAAAAAAAAAAAAAAAAAAGAAGATGGAATCAACCTAAATTCCCTTCAACTGATGAGTGGATAAAGAAAATATGGTGTGTGTATATACATATATCAATATGTATATACACATACCATATTGTAAATGTGTATGTTGATATGTATATTAAATAATATACATATATTAATATATAAGTATATATACACACTATGGAATACTACTTATCGATAAGAAAGACTGAAATAATGTGTTTTGCAGCAACTTGAATGGGACTGGTGGCCATTATCCTAAGTGAAGTAACTCAGGAACAGAAAAACAAATGGTGCATGTTCTCACTTATAAGTGGGGGCTAAACTACAGCTGCACAAGAGCACGCAGAGTGGTATAATGGACATCGGAGACTCACCAGGTGGGGAGCATGGGAGGGGTTAAGGGTTGATCACCTATGGAGTACAATGTACACTTCTCGAGTGATAGGTGCACCAAAAGCCAGACTTCACCACTTTATGACATATACCTATAACGGAATTCAACTTGAACCCCCTAAATCTACTAAAATAAAAAATACAAAAACAAGAAAAATTAACTTAAATAAAAAATTCATTTCCTCAGTTGTACCAGTCACATTTCTGGTGCTCCATAGCTACGTGTAGCTAATGGTACCACCTTGGACAGGGCAGACAGATCCAATCACCACGCCACAGGACAAGCAGAAAAGAGAGGAACGTGTTAAACAACAACATGGGGATGTAACCAGCAAAATCCAGATGGCAGGAAAATTTGCAAGATAAACAATCTCATGTCTTCAACAAATAAGTTGCAAAAAGAGAGCGAGATAGAGGGGAAACCTCAATATGAAAAGAAACCTAAAATGCATACTAACTGCATCACTTACCTGTTACTACATAAGTTACCCCCAAGCCTAGCAGCTTAAAACAACAAACATTTATTATCATACAGTTTCTGAAGGTCAAGGATTGGGACCTCAGGCCATGAGGTTGCAGTCAAGCTGTTGACTGGGTTTGCCATATCTCAGGGCTCAACTCGGGTTGAGGGATCAACTTTACTGGTGTGGTTGTTGGCAGGTCTCAGTTCCTCCTTGTTCTTCATTTGATGGGTTGCTATGCAGGGCTATCTGAGTTTCTCAAGACAGGGCACGGGGTTTTCCCCAGAACCAGAGAGCTAGACAGACAGACAGACAGATAGTCAGGGAGGGATGTCTAAACAAAAGCTGCAGTCTTTCGTTTTAGAAGCAACAGAACCTCATATCTCCCTATGGTGTTAGTCACATGGTACAATGTGGGAGGGAATAGCACAAGGGTGTGAACACAGGAGGTAGGATCATGGGGCCATCTTGGCTACTGGCTACTCACATCAACCCATCCCGATGTTTAGACTCATTTGGATCCCGATTCAAAGAAACAACTTCCTTAAAATGGCATTTATGAGGTATTTGAACACATGCTTGCTGTTTGATAATATTAAGGCATTACCATCAATTAGTTTAGGCAGGATAATGATATCAGGTTTTTTGTGTGTGTGCGTGCATGTAAGTGTTGATTGCTTGAGGATAATGATATTGTGGCTGTAATTATTTTAAAGCATTCTTAGCTTTTACAGAGCCATATAGAAATGTTTACCGTGTCCCAGCTGAGGAGCGAACAGCCGCTGGCAGCCACGGATCTCACCGCAGCTCTGAGTTTTTAGAACTTCAATTATAAAAATGGGCAGAATTTTTCTTGATCATATTGGTGGTACCGGTCTGTTTTCTTGTGCAAACTGTGATACGATCCCGACCAACCGTTTGGAACTCATCTCCACTCCATTCACAGGCGCCACTGGCAGGGCATTTCTTTTTAACAAGGTAGTTAACCTGCAGTGCAGTGAAGTTCAAGATCGGGTCATGCTCACTGGCCGCCACGTGGTTCGAGATGTGAGCTGCAAAAACTGCAATAGCAAACTGGGATGTGGATCTATGAGTTTGCCACTGAAGGCAGCCAGCAAAGGCCGTGTGATCCTGGAACGTGCTCTAGTTCGAGAGAGTGAGGGCTTTGAGGAGCATGTACCATCTGATAACTCTTGAAGAAAAAGAGATAAATCCATCTTTTCCCAGGTCTCCTTCACTGAGATCAAAAATCTACTTACATACACTGTCACCTTAGCATCAGAGTCAGATTCATGAACTGCGGAACAAGAGGTTGTGAGAATCTAAGATGGAACCTTCCTTTCTTTCTTTCTTTCTTTCTTTCTTTCTTTCTTTCTTTCTTTCTTTCTTTCTTTCTTTCTTTCTTTCTTTCTTTCTTTCTTTCTGTATTTTACATCCAACAGCAGTGTGTGGAGAGAATATTATGCATATGCCGTTAATTTTTTTCCCCTATGTTTACATCTTGAGGCAAAAGAGTCTGTCTGCAGCTACTTGGTGGGCTATGTAAGGAAAAAAATCTGGGCAATTAGAGTGAAAAAGTGTGTTTGATGTGAATTTTGAAAGGAAAATATGTCAAGAGCATGGTTTTTAAACTTAGTTGGACTTCATTTAATTTTTTTTTTAAAAAAAACCAGCTATTTCACTTGATTTGCTAGCTTCAGAGAAGAGATCTGAATCTGTGCCCAGTGCGAAAGGCTCAGTGTTAGCATGGCTTGTGCTGGCCAGTGGGCCATATTCTTGCTGGAGATGAGCCACAGCACCAGAGCCCATTCTTCCTTGTCAGTCTTGACCCAAAGATGTCACCATTCCTAGTTATTTGTCACCACATAATTGGTGTTGATTGGAAACATTTTCTGAAATGGGCAGAACTGCTTGGTTGTCTTTTTTCCATGTAACTTAAGCATAGTAATATAAATAAAGTAATAGTTGGATGTTAAAAAAAGAGAAATGTTTACCAATGAAAATGACAAGATGTCTAAAATTTGTTTTAAAATATCAGGAGAGATGGGAAGTAGCTTGCTGCATGGATGAAACAGTATTAGTCAGGAGTTGATAATTATTGAGGCTGATGATGAGTTCTTGGGGCATCCCAAGATTTAATTAAAATTTTAATTAATTAATTATTTCAATGGACTGATAAAAATTGCAGATATACAACTTGATTCTTGTAAATATGTGTTTTCTCTACTTTTTTGTATGTTAAATTTTCTCCAGAATAAAATGGTATTTTTTATGGCCAGCTAGATTGAGCTGCTTGTGGGCAGAAATGCAATCACCCAGGTCTGTGGAAGATGACACTAATGCTTGTTGAATTAATGAATGGGCATTGTAGCCACTGTTGGTTTGTGTGAACTGGAGGGAGAAACCTATTTATTTGGGGAGAGAAGATGTGAAATTTCAGGTATAGCCAAGCACCATAGTCATACTTTACCAGTAGAAATACAGTGTGCAGCTGGGCTGCATATTGGGTTCGGGTTAGGATAGTAGAAGTTTGATTTTACCTCTACTCAGTTGGGTGACCTGAGATAATAACGTCACTGTCCCCAACTGCAGAAATAGATTGAAGGCATTCATTCAACATGTTCATGGAGCACCTACTATGTGCTGAGAACTGAACTAAGTACAAGATGCATAAAGATAACTATGACATCATTCCTGTTCCAAAGAGTTCATGGTTGAGCTCAATGGTTTTCCATCTTTCTTTCACCTGATTCCAGAAGCTCCTGTGAGTGTTCCTAGAGTTCTGACCATCCTGACCACAGAATAAATGAGAGGGTATGCCTGAATTTCAAAGTACAAATGGTAATGCACCCCATTTGAGAATTACTGCTCTACTTGGCCAGATAGTGATACCTACCATTAATTGAATTTCTGTGCCAGAAATGTTGTGCCAGGCACTTGACATACATTACCTTATGCATTCCTTACTGGAAGTTAGGTGCTATGTCCTCTTCGCAGATGAGAAAACCATGACTTCATGACCCCCCAGTGAGTGTGTGGCATCTGTGGCACCGGCCTTCTGGGATGATCTGAATGATTCTTTTAAGTGCTATAATTCTGAGTAAGCCTTTTAGGCAATCATTGGCTCTGTGACTTTGGGCCAATTATTTAACCCTTTGATCTTTGGTCTCCTTCCTTTATCTGCAGAATGAGCTAGTTGTGAAGGTTGTAATCATGAGGCATCCAGCTCATTTCCTGTAAAGCTTTCACATCCTTTATTTTGCTGCTCTCATCCGAGTGCTGATGCTCCATAGATAGCCGAGACAGCCTGGAAAATCAAGATTTGATTCATAGATTGGGGAATTGCCCAGATAGACAGGTCACTGGATGAGGAATGATAAAGGGGATGGCAGAAGACTTAGTCATGGTCTCACAGCTGTGGAAGGAGAATAGGAGTCCCAGAGGAAAACACTCAAATCCAAAACTCTGGTCACCCGGGATGCAGAGATCTTCTGGACTGTGGGAATGAAGGTTCAAGGTGGCTCATTGTGGGTGGGCAGTGGGAGAGGAAGTGGGGGGCCAAGAGAGTATACTAGGAGAGGGTGGTCCAAACTGAAATGACAGGGACCAAGCTATACCACTAAAGCATACCTGGCCCAGAGAGGGTACAAACAGACTTTCCCAAATAAAAGGCCCAAATGAACAATCCATCACCTGGAGTAAAAGCCAACACGTGGGGACCCAAAGGTAAGCGTACCAGAGGACATTCACAAAATTTAGAGCAAAGAAAGGACATTATTAGTAGCACTGACACTCACTTGGTGCTTTATAATTCGCAAAGTACTTTCACATGCTTTGTCTCATTTGCCCTCTGAGGATGAGGGGGCAGCGGAATCTGAGTTTGCAGTGCTAGGACCCCGTGCCAGCTGTGGGATCTAGCCCATCACCCTCTCAAAATGACTTTCCTCATCTGTAAGTGACCAGACAAGCCCACCGACCCTTCAGTGTTGTGGGGATTAAGCCAAAGTACTTTGTAAACATTCTGGGTGGTTCTGTGGTTCACACCTCCAGTAGTAGGTACAGGTGGCCCTGAAACCCAGGCCTGCCCAGCTGGGGCTCTCCGCTTGGCCACAATTCTCTCCCACCCCGCCCCCACCCGACCTTGGCCGATGTCACAGCACAGTGGCCCGCCTGCCTGCATCCTCCCAGTACTTAGGATGCTGAAACCACTTGTTCTCTCTTACTGGGAGGGGCAGCCAAAACGTCAAAGCCACCGTTTACGCCTCACTGCCGCCGCCTGCGTCCCCTATCCTCCCGCGGAATCTTGAAGGGCAGGATGTGGGCTATCCTAGATGTCTCAGAATAAGAGATTTGGAACAAGATGGCTTGCTATTGGCCTAGTGAGCCGCCTGGAGGTGGGACTTACGCTGACATCTTGCTTCTGAATGGCTTGGACATGAGAGGGATGGGAACTTTGGGAAACCTTCCATTTTGATTGGCTGTGGGGACTGGCAATGGGTGATCGTTGGACCAATCTAAGAGTTTCTGGTGGCAGAAGGTGGAGCTTCTGATGAAAGGGGCGAGACTAGCATATGATCGCGTCTCCCTTTGGCCACTAGTGACTTTTTCCTTGAAATCTTTAACTTTTTGAAGTGCTTTCCCACCTTAACTGCAGTTTTGTGAGATGCGCAGCGTGTTACCACTTTTAGAAATCAGAGATGGAGAAAGTCCTATAAAAAAAAGAAGGTTGGATGACTTGTCAGTTACTTTTTTTTTTTTTTTTTGAGACAGGGTCTCACTTTGTTGCCCAGGCTAGAGTGAGTGCCGTGGCGTCAGCCTGGCTCACAGCAACCTCAAACTCCTGGGCTCCAGCAGTCCTCCTGCCTCAGCCTCCCAAGTAGCTGGGACTACAGGCATGCGCCACCATGCCCGGCTAATTTTTTTCTATATATATTAGTTGGCCAATTAATTTCTTTCTATTTATAGTAGAGACGGGGTCTTGCTCTTGCTCAGGCTGGTTTCGAACTCCTGACCTCGAGCAATCCGCCCGCCTCGGCCTCCCGGAGTGCTAGGATTACAGGCGTGAGCCACCGCGCTCTGCTCGGCCTGTCAGTTACTTTTTGAGGCCTGGAATTCTGTTTCCTGTTTCTCCTCTCTTTAACCCTTGATGTGGCTGTGTGTGAGAGTGCAAGAAAATGATCCTCCAACTTATTACATTAACACATCCAATGGGATCGGTTTACCAGGTTATGTATGAAGTTAACACCCTAGAAAGTACAAAAAATGGAATAAGATAAGTGAGCGATGAACTTGGGAGCTGGTGGGGGAGAGCATGAGAGCTGGGCCTCCCCTGGAGGGAGAAGGTCCAGCAGACCTCAGGAGACCTCAGCATTCGCTCCATCTGAGAATACTTTGCAGTTACTAAATGGCTTTGTGTATAACTTTCCTGGCTCCCTACAGGGTAGATCTGCAGGTGTTTTGATCTTACTTTATGAGTGGCACAGGGAGCCCTGCGGGAGTTAAGAGCCTGGGCCACCAGCTTATTAGCATCAGGGGCAGCACCCCACCCGCTCGCTCGTGTCCCAGGTCCATGCTTCCCTTTTCCTCCCACCCACCTGGGTTAGCAGGGGGTGCAGAGCCTCATGTGTGCATGTGTTCGGGTACACACGGTGTACTTGGAAGTCTTTTCCCTGCTGCCCGGCGGGGGCCTTGCTACCTGCCAGCCAGGGACATAACAGCTGGTCATTGTAGGCTGAGGGGCCCTGGCACTCAGGAGACGAGGCTGCTCAGGGACTCCACGCAGTGTTGGAAGACAGAGACGTCTTGGCCCAGCTCCGCTCCTTTCAGCCTCTCAGCTTCTGTCTCTTGGTGTCTCTTCCAGTTCCCAGACTTCTCGGTTTCCGATTTCCTCTGTCAGTTTCTCAGATGCAGTCCTGGCAAGCCGCTCCTACTCATCTAGCAGTCGGAATCAGAGAGGGGGGATTCCATTGAGGGTGTGGCCCCTGGAGCAGAGGGACTTCGGGGCGCTGGGGACTCCTAGACTGAGAAGAGAGGTGCTCGGGAGGGTGGGGCCATAACTAAGGTGGCAACCGCCCTCCCTCCACCTAAACCCGAGACACCCCCACTCCCAGTCCCGCTCCCCAGCCGGACCAGGCGGAGTCTCGCTGGCAGGACTCGAGGCCCCTCAGCTGCTCCCTCCAGCAGGGCCTCGCCGCCCGAGGTACCTACCCCATTGCCCCACCCCCGCCGTCAGCCCCCAGCTGGACGCGAGTCCGCTCCAGATCCGTCCCGGGTTTCCCCCGCGTCGCTGGGGTCTCCGCCCCTCGGAGCCGCCGGCTGGGTCGCGCCGGAGGGAAGCCGCGGGAACCTCTTGCGCTGCCCGGCCCTGAACCGCTGGGCGCCCGGGCCCGCGTAGCGAACTGAGCTGCGACGCTGGCCCCAGGCTGGCGTTCGAAGTCCGAGTCGGGACCCGACGGCGCAGCCTGGGCCCCGCACATCCTCCTCCTTTGACTATCCGGGCTCCAAAGGGACCCCCATCTCCGCACCGCTCGCTGTCTGCGCCAGCTCCGCCTCTCAGCATCCCGGCCTGGCTCGGGCTCCGGCTCCGGAGAGGTAGGGATAGGGAGGCCCGCAGGGCCCGGGGGCGGGGGCCGGCGTGCTCTTCAGCAGCGGTATGGGGGCAGCAGGAGACCGCCCCCCCACACACACACCAGGGGGAGAGAGCGGCTGCGCCCCCTGCTGCCCGACCCTTCGCGTCCGCGTCGGGTGACCTAGATTACTGAGACCGAGACTTCACCCCAGGTGTCCAGAGGCGCTTTCCTGTCATCCCTCCCCTCCACCTCTGTCGCCATTTCGCTCGCACCTGTCCCTGGGATCCGGTGCCCAGGGTCACCCTTGCAAAGTAGACAGGTTCCTACGGAATCTCCACCCGCCTGCTGCCCTCCAATCCTCCACTCCAGGAATGGGGCGGAGGGAAGACCCTCACCAGGAAAGACCCTCCTGTAAAGCCCCCCTCCTCCACCATGTGGCCCTCTGGACTACCCGCCTTCCCTGATCTCTAGGCCATCTTCCTTGGTCCCAGCCTGTGCTCCTGGGGCCTTCCAGTCCGCTCCACTTGCTCTCGTCTCCCCTGTCGCTGTTTTCGAGGTGTTCTCTTCCAGCCTCTTTGCTGACTTTCTCCTCCCCGTGACCCCTTTTCTCCCTCCCCCCCCCCCAGCCAGGAAAAAGGCGTGCGTGATGCTGCTTTCTATTTATGGTCCCCCTGGGGAGGGGTGCGCTATAGGATTTTTTTGGCATCTGCTGGGCCCGGAGTCACGAGGTGTCATGTCTGTGATTCGGTGTCTGTGCCTCCGCCCGCTCCCCTCACTCATCTCCTGCGGCTCCGCATCTCCCTGTCGCCTTTGTCTCCTTTCAGCCTCTGTTCCTGTCCCTTTCGCTCTCATCTTCGGGCGCTTTGTGTAGCTGCCTTCTTTGTCTCCGCCTCTCCGCGTCCCTACTCCCTTCCCTCCCTCTCCTCACTCTCCTCCCTCCCTGGGTTCCGAGAAGCCTCCGGCCTCAAGGGCGTCAATATCTCAGGTGTGTGGGGTGCGGTGGGAGCGTGGCGGGGGTGGGGGCTCCCAGCATGCCCAGCTATGCCTCTGATCACCCCCTCCCTAGAGTGATCATTCATATTTATGAGATTAAAAGAATGGTCCCAAGGATGTAGGGATACAGATGGGGAGGGAAATACTGTCCCTCTTGCTGGAGCTTGGTCCAGAAGATGCCTGAACTACATCTCCCACAGTGCTCTGGAGGCTTGGGGCTGCCTCTACCTCTGCCTAGACACCTATGGGAGTTAGAGTTCCACGAAGCCAGTCTGGAGGGTGGGAAATGGCCACAGCATGCAGAGAGAGTTGAGGGGCAGCCCACAGCTTCGGTTAGCCTGGAACCCCAGCCTACTTTGTTCCCATTGCTCACTTCCTCCAAGGCTTAAGGACCTTGGAACCTCTTTTGTGACCTCCAAAAAGGAAGAGGGTTAGAGGGAGTGCCTAGGAAGAAAAGATGGGGGATGAATTGGAAAATTCTTCCTTCTTCCCTGTGATCCTGGGAACTTCCTGCCCCCCTCCCCATCCTCCAACCATAAACAACCTTATCTGAGATGTAGAAATACTATTTGGAAATAATCTCCCCATCCTGAAAGCAAGGGAGAGAAACTGGAGCCTAATGGCTTGAATTGGTTCCAGTCTACAGGTTGCTCACACTTTGTCCATCCTCTCTGGGGGCAGTGGAGTATTGCTAGAGTCACCAGTGAACCACCAGATTTTATTTTCCCAGGACCTATGAACAGCTGGTTCAGATCGCCTGGAGATGCAGTGGGAGCCAGGAGCTAACCTGCTCATCTCTAGGGCCCCTTGTCCTCAGGACCTGCTGCAAGGAGCCTGGTACCTGGGCTGGACTGAGGGTTGGGGTCCGTGTAGTTCTGAGTGTTCGCATAGGGATTCCTGACAGTGTGGGCCAGGCAGTGGGGGTTCCCCAGCAGTCCCATCTCTGGTCCTGTGTCAGCTTAGCCCACCCAGGACGTTTGACTCATATTAAGGACCCAGTAAGTCCTCTCCTTGCTCTACATAGAGGCTGGATTTGAAGACCCAGTTACACTAAAAGGAAGTCTTCCCCACTGGCCTGGAAGCCAGGAAACTACTTTTAGCCTGGCTCTGTCCAAGCTGAGTAACCTTGGGGAAGGTTTTCAACCTCCCAGAGCCTCAGTTTCCTTACTGTGAAAGGAATGGGTTGAACCTGGTGGTGTCTGGTGGCCCCAGCAGGGGCTTTAAAATCTTTTGAGCCTGGCTTTCCCTCCTCTCTGCTGTTGTATCTCACCTGGATTTAGCTGGGAGAGCCTTAGGTGTTGAAATCAGATTAGAAAGAGTCAGAAAAGAAAGAGGGAGGTGGAACTGTTGTTTTGAAGCTTTGTTTGTATAGCAGGCATGCTGTATTTATGCAAGCTATGGTTATGGCATGGAAGCTGAAACCATTCGCAAACCACTCCTTGGTGCCACTGCCGGTCAACCTTCCCCAAACTTAAGTCAAGTTTTTGTAAAACAAAATGAAACAAATAAACAAACACAATTTCAGCCAAACCCAGTATTGCCCTTACAGAGTAGTTGGTCTATGTGCCCCTGGGATGTTGGTTAATGAGGCTTAATGTAGGTTATGTGAGGTGAGCCTCAAAATTGACTGAAATCAAGAGGAGTGGGCTGTGATTGGTTCATTTGGTTGGTCTGGCAGAGACAGATCTGGCAATAGGAGTTTTCAGGACTTAGGATTTGGGGTCTTCTCTTTGGTTTTGCTAGAGCTCCAACAGAGCCCTTTTGAAAATTATCTTGGAGTGGAGCCCAAATCCCCCTATGGGGAACGCAGGGAATAAACTCCAGCAAGAGAAAGAAGGGGTTTGGATTGGCCTGGAAATAGTTTGACATTTTCTAATGGAGCTGTCCATCTGCCCACTCCCTTTGCTTATATTTGCATATGTATGTCAGGAGGTTGGGGGTAAACTGAGGCAGTAGTCTGAGGAGATTTGGGGTCTACATCTCACTCCCTTTGCCCTGGGTTGATACCTGGCAGTGGCAGGAAAGCAAGGAGTGGGGAGGAGTATTGAATCTTCTGCTCTTCCCTGGGGAACCCTCCTGCAGGCAGAGTGGAAAGTGGGAGTTTCTTTCTCATGTTGTCCTTGCAGAGATCTTAGAGAGGTGATGGGGCCCTTGAAGGAGTTTCCCTCAATTTTTTACCACCCCAAGGGCCTTCTGTCCTTTGGGTGCTGGTTGTTGGCTGGGCATAGAGGAGATCTGGGGCTAGTCCCTGGGGAGCTCACTGGGGCGCCTGAGTTTGTGACTGGTGGGGGTAGAGCAGGCAGGGTTGGGATTTCTGGGAGCTGGTGGGAAGAGGGTGGAGCTGGGAGACCTCCACTTCCAGGGTCTGTGTGGAGAGCAGGAAAGAAAGGGTGTTTGTGCAGGGAGGGGTTGTTGGCACTGCTTCTGTGTAGGAAGCCAGATGTGCGAACAAGGGGCTCTGATCCAGCTGCTGGGTTCTCTCTTTTCTGCAGGGTAATGAAGCTGGATGCCGGCAGTGGCGCTGCCATCGCAGAGGTCCCTAAGCCTGAAACGGAGGCTGCACCAGATGCAAAGCCGAGCTCCGAGACCCGGCCACAGGCCAAGTCCAGAGGGCTTGAGGCTGAGGCCGAGCCTCTGCGGGCCAACTCAGGGCCTGAGGTCAAGGGTGAGTCCTTAGGAGGCAAGCCCAGGTCAGAACCAGGGCCTGAGGCGGAGGCCGAGCCATTGGACTTCGTGGTGGCCACAGAACGGGAGTTTGAGGAGGTGTTGGCCATTTCGGGGGGCATCTACGGTGGCCTCGACTACCTTCCCAGCCGCTACCACAGCTGGCTGCAGGATCCCGACCGCACGGTGGTGCTGGCCAAGCGCAACGGAGGAGTGGTGAGCTGGGGGCGGGCCCAGATGAAAAGGGGAAGCCACGTTCGGGTGCGTGGATCTTAGGGAGCCGAGGGGGCGGGCCTCTCCCCAGGCATCTTCCAGCTGCTGAGGAAATAGAGGCTGCTTTGGGACCACAGTATAGGGGTACGGATCCAGGGGCTAGGACAGTGAGAGGGGTGACTGCGAACGCGGAGGACCTGGAGGAACTGGTGAGAGCTTCGAAGTCTGAGTATCCATTCGAGGAGTTTCTGGGGGCAAGAGCACAAAAAAAAGGGGAGCAGGCAAGAGGGGGTAGGCTAGAGGTGGCAGCAGCTAGACTGGGACGACTGGGACCTGGGAGCAGACAGAACTCGCACCAAGAGCATCTGGAAGCCGGGAGCCGGGGGAGCGCAGCGTGGGGCTGAGAAGGAGCTAAGAAGTAGCGCAGCTGCAGGTGCCAGGGGGCGTGGCAATGTTCTGGGGGTGGAGCCAAGGAAAGGGGCGTGGCGAGCGGTCAGGAACTTGTTGCAAGCGGAGCTGGAGCGTCTCACGAGGTGGAAGAGGCCCCGGCGAATGACTGTTCTGCCGGCTCTGGAATCCGAGCCCCAAGTGCTGAGGAGAGTTCCCCGGGCCGCCGCAGGCCTGGCCTGGCGCCCAGGCGGTGACGACGGAGTGCTCAGCGTGTGGGAAGAGGCGAGCCCCGAGAGCCGGCAGCCCTGGCAGGGGCGGAGGCGGGGAGGAGCGGGCCCCCTAACGGCCTCGGTCCGCAGATCGCACTGGAGTCGGTGAACGTGATCGACGCTGGGGAGACGGCGCTGGTGGAGGGGCTGCGCGTGGCGCCCTGGGAGCGTGGCAAGGGCGTGGCCGGGCTGCTGCAGCGCTTCTGCTCGCAGCTGGTCAAGCGACAGCACCCGGGGGTCAAGGTGGCACGACTCACCCGAGACGACCAGCTGGGCCCCCGGGAGCTGAAGAAATACCGCCTAATCACCAAGCAGGTGAGAAGGTCAAAGTGGCTCGGAGGACTAGACCTGTCCGCTGGGGCATACGGGCGGCCCTCCCCATGCCCACCCGCACACTGGCTTGCTTCTCTCCTGGCTCTACGGAGTGGAGCGGCCCATGAGCCTTGCCCTGGGACTCCCAGTCATACCCAGACCCTTTTGCCCAGGGAAAGTCACACTCCTGACTCCCAGCCTGAAACCCTCATTCCTTATATCCCAACTTCTGTGACCCTGCCTATGATCCTGCCTTTCTTCAGGTACCCAAGCATGTTAATCTGAGCCATTGTCTTCCCTTCCCCTCACTGTCATTACCCCGGAGACCCAGGGACCCACACCCCTTCCCTGGCTACGCCACGCTGATCCCACCTCTCCTTGGGGATCCAGATATTTGGAGTCCTTGCCCTTGTTGCCCCACTGCTACGCTCGAAACCCAGACTTTTTCATACCCCACTTGGCCCGGCCCCTCACTGTCGGTTCTCCTGAAGGGCCAGCCCTCTCGCTCGCCCTGGGCTCACTCGTGCCCCCCGCAGGGCATCCTTTTGGTCCGATTCAACGCGTCCGCGCTACTGGCTGGGCTGGGCGCGCGGCTGGCAGCGCTACGGACCTCCGGTACCTTCTCGCCACTGCCCACCGAGGCTGTGTCCGAGGCAGGCGGCGACGTGGCACGCCTCTTGCTATCGCCCTCCGTCCAGCGCGACGTGCTTCCGGGTGGGACCATCATCCAGGACTGGCAGCCCTACCGGCCAAGCGAGAGCAACCTGCGCCTGCTGGCGTCCAAGGGCCTGGAGTGGCGCGTGGACAGCCGCGCGCGCCCCCGCGTGCTCACGCTGTGCACGCGCCCCTTCCCCATCCCGCATGGCGGCGACGGCACTTGGCGCTACCTCAACATCGACGCCTTTGGCAGCGACGGCGCGCAGGTGCAGAGCCAGCTGCTGTGGCACCTGCAGCGCCAGGCCCCGCGCCTCGCCGGTCTCAACGTCATGTGCCAGCTCTTCCTGGCGCCCCAGCTGTGGTCACAGCTGGCTGATTTCTGCCAAGTCGGCCTGGGGCTAGAGCTGGTCAAGGGTTACACTGAACAGTACCTGCTGGAGGCCGACATCTGAGGCCTCAGGGCGGAGATAGGCTGCACTTTAGAACCGCCCTCTCGCGCTGATCCTGAGTCAGCCCCGCCCCTGCCATTTCAAAGCTCCGCCCCCTTAGAAGTCAGCTCAGATTCCTACCCACCTTGCCCTTTCTCCTCACCTCTGCCATCTTGCCTCTCGTGTCCCCAAATGCCCTGACATGGAACGCTAGATTTGGGGGAGCCCCCTGGGCTGCTATTATCCACCCTTTCCGCTTTCAAAGAACTGGTCCCTTCGCAGACTTCAGAGTCCTACCCAGTCATTGCTCCGGCCTGAAATGAACCCGCCCTTCCTGCCTCCTCGTGGATGGAAGCGAGCAGAAGGGTGTGCCCCGCCCGATCTGTGTTTCTTTCCTTTCTCCTGCCCTTTCCAAAGCCCTCAGAGCCGGCCCTGCGTTCTTCTCACTGTCCCCTCAGCCTCAGGTGCCTCTAGATCAGTGTCCTCTTCCCACTTCTCTCTGTCCCCTATCCTCCTCCCTGGAGCTCCCTGACTCTTAACTCCTCAGTGCCCATTTTCCTGTCCCTCGGTCCCCCTTCGCTGTGACCTCCTCATCGCTGACCTAGTGTGCGATGTGGAGAGACGCCACGTAAGGGAAATGTGTTTATAATGCTCCCCCATTCGGCTCCCTGTCTACCTTGGTGAGGCACTTTCCTGAGCCTGCCCCTCTGTCTGGGGTTTCCTCCAACTTTGCTTGCCCTTGCAGTTTCGCCAGGCTCCTCCCCCAGGTCCCCAACTCACCAGGGGGCTGGAGAGTTTGGTGCAGTGGAGGGCGGGTCCCTCAGCCTGGCATGGGGGCTGTCTCCTGGTTCCAACCAGGCTGCCTTCTAGTGAGACTGGAACGCTACCTCCCAGTATTTCTGGACACCGCTCCCTTCTTCTGGATCATTTATGCTTCTTGGACTTTGAGAGTCTTCTATTTAAATGCAAGTAGTAACAGCTGCATTTGCACAGCGCTGTCTCCTACACCAGATCCCCACATCCAAGGCAGAGGGAGGAAACAGGCTCAGAAAGATCAAAGTGACTTCTAAGTCACTCACAGTAGCTGGGAATCTCCCAGGGAGAGAACCCAGATGGCCCAACCCCAGAGATTGCCCCAGAACCTCACTCTGTGTGATGGTGTTAGCTTGAACACTGGACAAGGGACAATTGACAGGCAAATGTTGACAGCCAGGGTTTGCTGGGGATGGAATCCAAGCTGTGGGCAGGGGAGGGCCCAGGATGGGGAAGGTGGGCAAAGGGGACAGCTACTGCTTGACTACTTTCCCCAGCTGCAGTTTTTCTGTCGTGCTGCTCTGCTTTGGCTGCCTCCTGCGCCTGGCCATGCTGCCACCCTTCTCACTGCCACCAAGGCTGTAAGGCAATAAAATGAACCTTTTGCCCACCCTTTGTGTTTGTTTCAGTTCTTCTCAGTGGGGAGGGATGAGACACATTATCTTCCCCTTTTCCCAAGCAGCCTGTATTAAAGAGGATCTCTAAGCCCTGTGGCAATGGGGCTAATGACTTCCTGAGTGTGGGGGGGGTAGTTGCTGGGGAGGGCTGCTGGCTGTTGTGCGCCCCCACCCCCACCCCTGCCGAGCAAGGGAAGAAGCGGCTGCTCAGAACCGAGGCGAGCAGCTGCGCGGCGCCCTGACTAGCCTGGGCCCTCGCTTTCCCCCGGGCCCGGTAGTCGGCTGCCACCCAAATTCTGTGGGTTCTTCTCCCAAGTTCCTCTTGGCATCCAGGACCAGCTTCCTTCAGCCCCAGGATCCAGGCATCTAACTCCCAGCTCTGGACTCACCGGTGGCCAGCCGCGCGCCTCGCTCTCCCCATTTCTGGGTGGGCAACGCGTGCTGGAGGGAGGAGGTGGAGGGAGGAGGTGGAGGGAGCCTGGGCACCGCCCCCCCTCCCCTCCCGGGAGCCAAGCTCTGGAGCGGCGGAGACTGCGATCCCGAAAAGTAGCACGCGGGGGCGCCAGGCCGTGTGCGGACGCGGGCGAGGCAGCGCAAGGTGGTTTTCGTCCGTGTGAGTGTGTCCATGGGCGTCTTTGTGTGTCTACGTCTCTGTACATGTGTGTACGAGTCAGGGGGTTTCTGGGAGGTATGTATTCGGGACAATGTTTCTGGTGTACCCCAGAATGAGGTACCCCAAGTGGCTTTTTGGTGAGGGCAATGCTTGATGTTACTACGTACGTGTGGATGGGGAGGCAGGTGACTTGTGTATATTGCCGCGTGTGCACAGTGCAGCCTGTGAGTCCCTGAAGCCACGTCTTGAATTTCTAAAGTCAAACGTTTTGACTTTAGAGGGTTAAAGTGAGAGGGTTTTGACCCCTTCCCACTAAAAGGACTGAGAACTTTCAGTGCAAATCTCCATTGCCCTGGATGCATCTTCAGCATAGGTCTTGACTGCTAGGCTAGGTGTGACATTGTGTTTGTGTAAGTGGGTGTGTCTCGGAATCTCAGCGAACTCTGTATGACAGTGTGTTGTGTGTGTGGCAAGCGAATGTTCAAGGGGCTGGTTCAAGATTATGGAAGTGCATAATTTCCTTTCTCTTACTAGTTTGTGGATACCACCTTCATGGTGTGTGTGTCTGTGTGTGTGTGTGTGTGTGTGTGTGTGTGTGCGCGCGCGCGCGGACTTGTGCTTGTGTCTCAGTCTCCAGTGGCTGTCTCTCTTTGTGTCTCTCCCCATCTCTGTCTCTCCCTCTCTCTCTTTGCCTTTCTTGGTGACTCATCTCTGCAGCGTTGCCCTCCTCCGGCTCTCTGGGTCTCCCCTCCCCCATTCAGGAGTGGGTGGGGGTCTGAGGGAATGGGGCCCCAGACTAAAAATCAGGGTGAGCACCCCCTTCCCATCACTCATCATTCCAGACCCTCCAGTGTGGCCCCCAGCCCTCTCCCCATCCCTGTCCCAGGAGTCCACACCCCTAGGGTGGGTAGCAGGTAGGACAATGTGTTCTAAATGGGTCCATTTTCAGGGGGCCTTTAGCTCCTTCCTTCAATGCAAAGTAGGTACCCCTGCCCATCTTACAAAGTACCCTCTCCCTGCCTGTCCCCCTATGGCTGACGCAATGAAAGGCTGCAGAGGTGAGTCACCAGTTGGGGGGAGGGGGAGGAGAAGAGGGGGAGGGTGAGCTTCGGGACCCCAAACCCCTGCCCCCTCTTTCTCTCCCAGCTCTTCTCAAGGAAAAGACTCAGTGCTCTGCCCCCTCCCCTGGTTTTCCAGATCCTCAGCCAGGATCACTACTCTGCTGGACCCCATCTTCCCCTCCTACCCTCTTAGAGAGCATGGGCGGTTCAGAAACAAAGACAGAGAGAGATGAATTCATACAAACAACTCAGAGCAAATGCCAGGAATCCCCTCCAGGTCCCCATCTCAGCTCTGCCTTTTCCAGCTTTTTCTACATTTATCTTTCTTTCCTGCCATCTCCCTCCTCTCCCCATCCCAGGAACCTGTCCGTAGTCCAGCCCTTTTCCAGAAGCCCCAGAGGCAGCAGCGTACGAAGGGCACAGTTCATGCCCAGTAGGTAGGGGTGTGTGTGTGTGTGTGTGTGAATGAGCTGACCAAGGTAGGGAACTGGGATGGAGAGAGGTAGAAAGAGACCATGCAGACATGAGGGGTCAAGACCCAGACTGTGGAATCCCCAAGCCTATTGCCTTTGGCGCTTCATGCTTCCACCTGCCCCCACCCAACCATAGGATGTCTGAGGCTCTTGGGATGTCAATTTCTGAGAAGCCCCCTGAGCTTCTGAGCTTAAGTGAAGGGAAGGAAGGATGGGGAGTTGGGGGGAAATGGAGGAATGGGGAACACTCTGAAAACAACGGGCAGGGACCCAGAAATTGTGGGCTGCAGCCGAGTGGCTTGGACTCTGAGGCTTTACTGCGCATAGATCTAGAAATGAAGGTGAATCGGGGGAGGGGCAAGAAAGATCAAAGCACAGGGAAGTCCATATACCCACCAACGTTTACCAACGTATAGACATGGAGGGATCCAGAGAAATGCACAAAGTCACACACACACACACACACACACGATTGTGTACCACCAAGCCAGACACATGTTTCAGACACCAACAGAGTGCACCTATCTGGTGCTAGGTGCACTCAAAGACTTGCAACTGTATAGGTATACAGGCATTCAGAAGAGATGGGAACCCACACACAGACACCTGGAAACAAGCAAAAACACAGACGCACAGATTGCAAGAGAAGATCAAATATTTAAATTGGAAGCACTGCCATGCCCATATACTCTCGATCTGATTAAATACATAATTGGTCAATCTCGATACACACAAAAACACATATACACACTCATGTACATGCATACACAGTTGCGTGCATGCACATACACACACACACAGAGGCAAATACACAAACAATTTCTCTAGGTGTCTGTCTCCCCTCATCTTGCACTTGGTCTCTAATCCCCAGCAGCCTCTCAGTCAGACCCCCTAGGCTCCCTCTTTCCCCCTTCCTTCTCTCTCTGGTGGCTTCCCCTCCCCCTCTCCAGATGTCTGAGCCATCTCTCTCTGATTCATCCTCCTCGAGAAGGTAACGTGACCCCCTCCCCACCCCATTGCTCTCTGTAACCAGGCTGGGAAGATGAAGAGGAGATGGGGAGGGAAAGAGGAAGGAGGGGAGCCTGGAGGGGCGAGGGGAGACCCTGGAGAGTTGCTTGCGAGTGTGGGGGGAAAATGAGGCACTGCCTCAGGGTCTCCTGTCCCTTCTTTTCCTTCCTTTCTTTGGAATCTCCAGTCACCTTGGTTCTCAGTGTTTTGTTTTTTTTCATCCTTTAGTCTGCTCCTTCTACCTGTTCCAGATTCCTTCTTTCCTTCCCCCTTCCCTGTCCCCGTCTCTTCTCTATTTCCTTTCTCTCTACTCCTCCCCACCTCTTTCCCCGCAGAGCTGATGGGCTTTCTTCTGGGAAAGTCGAGCCACTGATGGAAGCGAGAAACCACTGCTGGTTATAGAGGGAAAGCACGTGAGTGTGTGAGTGTGTGTGTGTGTGTGTGTGTGGAGGCGGGGCGGGGGGTGGTGGTGGTAAGAATGAGGGTCAGTGCGAGGAAGAGATGAGGAGGGGGGCGAGGATTGTCTCTGAAGGAGTCTTTGAGCCCCTGACAGCCCTGATCCTGCTTTCCAGAATCTCCGGGCACGGGTGCCCTGTGTGCGCCCATGGGCACCCCTGTGTCCGCAGTTCTTGTGTGTCTGGCATGTGTCATTGTCACTCCCCCCTTTCCCTGCCCACGCCCCCGCACCGCTCTCTGCCTGCACTGCAGCCCCCTCCAGCCTCCATCCTTCCCCCGCTTCATTCCTGCAGTGGCTGCTCCCCGTGCCACCCTCCCTTCTCCCCTGCCCCCTCCCCATTTCCGTCCTCCCCCCTCCCCCCGCCCACGGCTGGTCTCCCTTCACCGGACCGACTCGCTGATGGATTCTCTTTGCGCAATCTGTGCGTCATCTCCCCCCACCCCCGGAACCTCTAGCTGTCCAAGCCCCCAGCCCCAACCCCTGTGGCAGGAGATACGGTCGAAGGGTCTGGTGGCAGAGAGGGGCTATCTCTGACACGGTCCCTCACATCGCGTTCAAACCTTCCCTTTAAGGAGTGGAGAGGGCTGGACTTGAGTCACCCCCCCACCTGCGCAACCCCCTCCCCACCTGGTCTGGTCTCGCCCTCCAAACGTCCTTGGAGGGTGGGGGAAGCGGCGGGAGGGAAAGAAACTAGAGGAGGGTGGGGAGAGGTGGGCTGAAAAGGAGCACAGCGGGGACCCCGACATACGCGGCAGTCAGTTGGACAGAAGGACAGACACACCTTTTTCTCCAGACACGCACCGGTCGTGAAAAGACACGACCTAGAGGCACACACATTCTCAATCTTTCCCCTTTCTCTTCCGACTCGGACTCTTTCCGATGGGATTGCCAAAATCGCAAGATCCACCCATCTGCCCCGGCTTGGGGCCACCACCCTGCGCCGCAGACCCGCGGACTGAGCCTGCAGGCGCGCAGATCGTTCCCTCTTCTCTCAGGTTCACGTCGTCCTTGGGCATGTTCCCTACCGACCACGGTCTCGGGGTGGGAGCCCGGCCCACTCCTCGGCTTTCGAATCCTCATCCTCCCCGTCCCCAGCATTGGTCTCCTAGTGGTGCCCAGTCAGACGTTGGGGGTGCCCCTATCCTATTCCGCTCAGTAACGCGGGCTCTCGCAGCTGCAAGTTGCTTTGTAACCCACCCTCCCGCTTTCCAGCGCCTCTGCATCCACCCTTCCATTCATTTTCCCATTCATTCATTCATCCTTTTCTCTTCATCCCTCCTGCATTCATTCATAGCCCCCCGCCCCGCCCGCCTCGGCATTTCATTCATTCCTTCCTTCATTCATTCATTCATTTCCCGGAGCTCGCCTAGCGCACACCCCTCGAGCCGAAGGCCCCAATGCGCAGGCGCCGGCAGGGAGAGGCGGGCACCCTCCAATCGCTGGACGTCCTCCCTCCACCGGGCGCCCGCCCGCTTCCCCATGAATGAACATTGACGTCAATGGGGCGGGGAGCGCCCACGTGACCTTGCGCGCTCCCCTTTATAAGGCGGTGGAGGCGCGGGCGCTGTCCAGCGTGCTGAAGCCGGAGCGAGCGAGCCGCTCGGAGCTGCGCCGACCCAGCTGAGCCCAGCCCACTGGACGCCAGACTGCGACCGTCGCTCATACCCCAGCCACCTCTCGGAGCCCAGGCGGACGCGTCCCGATCTTCCCCTGCCCCACCCCGCCCCGACCCTCCTCTCCAACTCCCGCATCGTGACACCAGCTGGTAAATACTCCGCTGTCCGTCCCTCAAACCCTCGGCAGCCGTGGGCGTGAGGGAGGGTTCTCTCCTCCTGGATGGGGGTGTTGAAAACACAGCGGGGAGCCCCCAGTAAGGGTCCTTGGTAAATGGGGGAGTCTCAGCTTTTCTCTTGCTGCTGAAGTCGCCCACGCACCATCCGGGAAGTCCTATGGGGAGGGAGCATAGATTTTTTTCCTCATCCTTGCTGCTTAGTACGTGGGCGATGGCAGTGAGATGGCTCAGGGAAGGGGGCGAGGAGGCACTGGGTGAGCAAGGGTTTCAGGCGTTCTTTTCCCATTTACACGACTCCAGAGATCGGCACAACATCTTCCTCCTGTGCTCCTAAACGTTCCACTTCTGGGTAAGGTTAGGGGATCAGGGAAGCCCTGGATTTCCTGCTTAAATGTGGGGGAGGGAATGTAGAATTAGAGAGCGGGTAATTCTTACAGAAATCTTCTTTCTTTGCCCCTTTCTCTTTTTCAGTCTCCGGCAGCCTCTTGGTCATGAAATCCCTCAGGTTGCCGATTTCCACCCTCTTCTGCTTCCTTCTACTGATCAAGGGGTTAGGAGCAGCGCCCCCGGGTCGCCCTGAGGCGCAGCCTCCTCCCCTCAGCTCTGAGCATAAAGAGCCAGTAGCTGAGGACGCAGTGCCCCGGCAAAAGGATGGCAGCGCCCTAGAGGTCCGAGCTGCTCGAAATTCCGAGCCGCAGGACGAGGGAGAGCTTTTCCAGGGCGTGGATCCCCGGGCGCTGGCCGCGGTGCTGCTGCAGGCACTCGACCGCCCAGCCTCGCCCCCCGCGCCAGGCGGCTCCCAGCAGGGGCCAGCGGAAGAAGCAGCTGAAGCTCTGCTGACAGAGACCGTGCGCAGCCAGACCCACAGCCTCCCGGCGCCAGAGACCAAGGAGCCTGCGGCTCCGCCTCGCCCTCAGACTCAGGAGAATGGGCCCGAGGCGGGCGACCCCTCCGAAGAGCTCGAGACACTAGCGTCTCTGCTCCAGGAACTGCGAGATTTCAGTCCAAGTAGCGCTAAGCGCCAGCAAGAGACAGCGGCAGCAGAGACGGAAACCCGCACGCACACGCTGACCCGAGTCAATCTGGAGAGCCCGGGGCCGGAGCGCGTGTGGCGCGCTTCCTGGGGAGAGTTCCAGGCGCGCGTCCCAGAGCGCGCGCCCCTGCCGCCCCCGGGCCCCTCGCAATTCCAGGCGCATATGCCTGAGAGCGGGCCCCTTCCCGAAACCCACCAGTTCGGGGATGGAGATACCTCCCCCAAAACACACCTAGGCGAGGCATTGGCACCTTTGTCCAAGGCGTACCAAGGCCTGGGTGCCCCCTTCCCCAAGGCGCGCCGGCCTGAGAGCTCACTCCTGGGCGGCTCTGAGGCGGGAGAGCGCCTTCTACAGCAAGGGCTGGCGCAGGTAGAGGCCGGGCGGCGGCAAGCGGAGGCCACGCGGCAGGCCGCGGCGCAGGAAGAGCGGCTGGCCGACCTCGCCTCCGACCTGCTGCTCCAGTATTTGATGCAGGGCGGGGCCCGGCTGCGCAGCCTAGGGGGTGGGGGGCTTCAGGAGGCGGCGGAGGAGCAAGAGAGCGAAAGGGAGGAGGAGGAGGCGGAGCAGGAGAGACGCGGCGGGGAGGAGAGGGTGGAGGAAGAGGATGAGGAGGCGGCAGAGGCAGAGGCGGAGGCGGAGGAGGCGGAGAGGGCGCGGCAGAACGCGCTACTCTTCGCGGAGGAGGAGGACGGGGAAGCCGGAGCCGAGGACAAGCGCTCCCAGGAGGAGACGCCGGGACACCAGCGGAAGGATGAGGGGGCACAGGAGGGCGGGGAGGAGGACGATGACGAGGAGATGGACCCGCAGACGATCGATAGCCTCATTGAGCTGTCCACCAAACTCCACCTGCCCGCTGACGACGTGGTCAGCATCATCGAGGAGGTGGAGGAGAAGCGGAAGCGGAAGAAGAACGCCCCTCCCGAGCCCGTACCGGCCCCCCGAGCCGCCCCTGCCCCTACCCACGTCCGCTCCCCGCAGTCCCCACCCCCGGTTCCCGCCCCTGCTCGAGACGAGCTGCCCGACTGGAACGAGGTGCTCCCGCCCTGGGATCGGGAGGAGGACGAGGTATTTCCCCCAGGGCCCTATCACCCTTTTCCAAACTATATCCGGCCTCGGACACTGCAGCCACCCTCAGCCTCTCGCCGCCGCCACTATCACCACGCCTTGCCACCTTCGCGCCACTATCCCGACCGGGAGGCCCAGGCGCGGCGCGCGCAGGAAGAGGCAGAGGCAGAGGAGCGCAGGCTGCAGGAGCAGGAGGAGCTGGAGAATTACATCGAGCACGTGCTGCTCCGGCGCCCGTGACCCGCCCCGGCCCCGCCCCCGCGCGCCCCCCGCGCGCGCCACTCCCCCCTCCGTGTCGTCCTCTCCCTTCTTGGTGTTTGCATGCGCCCTGGCCCCGCCCCTCGGCCACCACCCGGCCCCGCCTCCGCCCCGCCCCCGAGCTGTGCCGGGACCTGTCGGACCTCTTCCTGTGGCCCGAACTCCCAAAACTCACTCACCAGTGACTCGGGGCCAGCCCAGGCGGGCAGGTGGTTTGTGCGAGTTCCCTCCCCCTGAGGGACGGGACGGCCCCGTCCAAAACCGGAAAAAGCAGTTCCAGTTAATTGTGTGAAGTGTGTCTGTCTTCAGCCCTTGGGGCCTCCCAGAACCTCTCCACCCACTCCCAAGTCGCTGTGAATTTACCCCTCTTTCCTTTCTCTGTTGTAAATACCCCTCACGGAGGAAATAGTTTTGCTAAGAAATAAAAGTGACTATTTTATTAGGACTTTGTTCTCGGTTATTCACCCGTCCCCTTGGGCCTGTGTGGTCCTTCCCAAGGGGCGGTGAGGGAAGCGCCAGCCACAATACTCATCAGGGCTCCCTACCCCCAAACCAAAGCCAGGGCTGGTTGGGGAACCACTGAAACCGTATTTGGGGGCAGAGTATGGCTCACACCCATTAGGAAACTCTGGAAGTCCACTTCCAGCTTGGGGATGGTGGTAGTCAAAGGCATTGGTTCCCAGGGCTCGACAGAGAGCAGCAGAGTGGAATGTAACAGAGTCAGTTGTCTGGGATGAGCCCAGCAAGCTTCTGGTTCAAAGAAAATAACTTTGCACAGAAGGTGCCACAGCTCTGGGCACTCTGGAGTCTCTTCTTTCCTTGATGCCAGGGCTGCTTAGACACCTCTCCTTAACTCCTCCCTGACTTCCATGGTCCTAGGCTCCCCATAAGAAATGTGGGGAACAGGGGGTGGCAGCCACAGAGAAACCCTAATTCTCCCCATTTCTTAGCCCTTTTCTAATCCTAGATACCCTTGAACTTCTGATTATCCTTCCCAAATGAAACCAAGCCAGGCAAATGAAATCTCCTACAAAGAAATCTTAAGGGAAGTGGACCCATGTCCCTAGGAGTTGTTCCTCTCTCAGCAAAGGCATTGAGTATGAAAATCTGTTTGGTGTGAGGTGGCCACATAACATACCGGACACCTAGATTTGAATTACAGATAAATAACAGATAGGCTGGGAGGCCAAGGTGTGGGGATCGCTCAAGGTCAGGAGTTTGAAACCAGACTGAGCAAGAACAAGACTCTGTCTCTACTAGAAATAGAAAGAAATTAATTGGCCAACTAAAAATATATAGAAAAAAATAGCCGAGCATGGTGGCACATGCCTGTAGTCCCAGCTACTCGGGAGGCTGAGGCAGGAGGATTGCTTGAGCCCAGGAGTTTGAGGTTACTGTGAGCTAGGCTGACACCACAGCACTCTAGCCTGGGCAACAGAGACTGTTTCGAGAAAAAAAACACACACACATCAGATAGGTTGTTAGAATTAAGTGTGTCCCAAACATTGCTTGGGACACAGTTCTCTGGCTCCCAAAGTTATTTGTTTTTTATCTGAAATTCAAATTTAGCTGAGTCATCTATTGTTGTTCTTCCCAGGTCTGGCAACTGTAAATTCCTAGTTCAGAGCAAGAAGCTAATGGGCAGTGATGCCAGCAGTCCTGCCTTCCTCCAAAGAGCCCAAGGCAAGCAAAGTCCAGAAATGCTTTTCCTTTTATTTCAGAAGAAAGGAAATAAAGGCAGACACACATACCTCCGCCCTCCCCCAGGTCCTGCCTCGCCCAGAACTGGAGTGAAGGAGGGACAGGGCCAGCTCCCACCAAGCCCGCCCCTCTCCCAACCCTTCATTACCTCAAAGTGGCAAGGTTAGAAAAAAATTAACTATGTTGTTCCTCCCCTGGCACTGGACAGAGGCTCCACTACAGCCAAGGAGGAGGAGTGGGCAGGGGAGGGCAAAGGCCTTCCCTCTCACTACAGGGAACCCCCTCCCAGGCAGAGGAGCTGGCCTGGCTGGATGGGGAAGGGTGGAGGTAGGTCATGGGCACAGGGAAGAGAAGAGCCCTGAAAACCTTTTCCCTTTAACCTGACGTATTTATATATTTACAGTTATAGGGAGGGGAGGACATCAGGGGGAACATTGGTTCTTCAAAGGCAGGGAATGAAAGCCAAATAGCACCCCTGTCTTGGTCACATTTTCCTGTCTCCTAGTTCCTAGAACCTTCACTGGCAAAGGGGAAACAGGAGGTAGGGGTGGCAGGAGGGAATGTTTCTAGGGCCAGCGGAGCCCACAGCTCACTCCAGAGGAAGGTGAGGCAGCAGAGGAGCAGCCGGGTCCCACAGAGAAAAGGGCCCTGGGCGAGACGAGAAGCAGCCACTCACGCCCTGCTCCCCACCAGCTCCCAGCTCCACGCCCAGCCGGGCGGCCGGACTATGCCAGACCCATCTCCTCCAGCACACTGCGTGGCGACTCATCCTCCTGAGGCAGAGACAGACAGAGGGTGACGCAGACACCAGGAGAGGCAGACAGGGTGGGCAAGACGACAGCAATCACGAGGAAGGTGGGGGGGGAGCACAGAGAGACACGAGGAGGGGGAGAGAAGCCAACGTGAGCCCAAGGCTGGGGTGCTGCGAGCCCTTCCGGGCAGCTCGCCAGCCTCCTGGGGCCACCCAGAGCCAGTGAATGAATGATGGCAGTAGGGTCCAGGTTGAGTCCATCACCACCCAGAGAACCTAAAGCCCCAAGCTTGGGGAGCAGGCGCTCCCCCTCAGTGCCTGGGGGCAAAGGCAGTGGAGCTGGGACTGGGAGAATGGAAACCTGCTGCTGGGGGGCTGGGGGTGCAGATGGTGGGGTGCTGTTTTTCAGAGTGGGGGGAGGCAGTAGGAGGTTGGCACCAGGTCCCTGAGGGAAGGTGAACCAGACTGCAGAGAGATGAGTCATTAGGGCCTGAGCAGAGCACCAGTAACATGGGCGGGTGTGTGTGCCAGGGCACAGGCATGTGTGAGTGTGTGTGAGTGTGTGCGTGTGGAGGGGACGCTGGGCCGGTGAGGGGGCCAGCTCAGCTCTACCCCTCTCCTACTGCAGAGAGGGCCCCCCCATCTCTCCCCCTCCTCAGAGCCAGCTCAGGCCGCTCGCTCATCACTGCAGATTCCGGTGACTCATTTCCCTGCATCAAGGCTCAGCAATGGCACAGCAGAGAGGGGGCAGGCAGTAATGGGGTGAAGGTGGGGGCGCCAGATAGCAGGGGCACTAGATCCAGGCACCCTTGACCCCAGCCCCCAAATTCCCACAGCCTTTTGCTCCTGGGCAGCAGAGCCTTTTGAGTAGGTGTGTGTAAAAAAAAAAAAAAAAAAAAAGAGGCCAAAGGACTTGAACAGAAACTTTTTTAAAATCTGTACCCCCATAATATGCCGAACTCAAAAAAAAAAAAAAAAAAAAAAAGGTGGGGTGGGAGAAGAAATCAGGGAAAAAAAGGATGATCTGCCATGTGCCCCTTCTCTAATTCTCTAAGCAACCCTTAATGCCAAGAGAGACGTGGGACAAAAGAGGTTCAGTAGGGACAAGTCACCTCAGGTCTTGGGAGGAGGACAGAGCTTGAAATAAGGGGAGCACTGGTGGGCTGTCTGCTCCCTGTCTCCCACTCCGTGGGATCAGGGCTTGAGGACAAGCTGGAGAGCAGGGCGCCGTGGGGGCCATATGCCACAGGGAGGGGGGCCCCCTTGATGGCGGGCAGGGTGTCCAGGGGAGGCAGAGAACCCTCTGCCAGGGTACTCTTCCTCCTCCTCACTGTCCCTTGCCCGTACCTCCTGCAGCAGGTCTGCCTGCTCGATGGCCTTCAGCACACTCTTCTTGGAGGTGTCCTGGACATCCCCCCCCATCAAAAACTCATCCAAGATGAAGTAGGCCTTCTCAAAGTTGAAGATGATGTCCAGCTCACACACCTGGGAGGAGGGGCAGAGGCTGAGTTGAGCTTCAAGGTGCATTCCCTGCCCCTACCTTTCTCATGACCACTCTTCCCACCTGGGGTTCTGGCCCCAGGCCTCATGTCCTCCCAACTGCCAGGACTTGGTACTAAGTTTGGCTTTTTCGTCTCTTCCTCTTGCCTCTTTCTCCCTGATCATGAAATATTAGTTGTCCTATTCTATCCTTCTCTGTGGCCCTCCTTTCCTTTTCCCCCAAATCTGTGACATGTTCCCATCAGGGCTCGGCTAGCCTCTCTCCTCAGCACTGTGGGGCAGGGAGGGAGGAGATTACTTGAGTTCCAAGCAGGGTTCTGCCACTAACCAGCTAACTATACACATCATTGAATGTCTCTGAGCCTCAGTTTTCTTTCTTTCTTTCTTTCTTTCTTTCTTTCTTTCTTTCTTTCTTTCTTTCTTTCTTTTTCTTTTTTTTTTTTTTTTAGACAGAGTCTCGCCTTGTGTACAGTGCAGTGGCGTCATCACTGTAGCTCACTGCAACCTCTAACTCCTGGGCTCGAGGGATCCTCCTACTTCAGCCTCTCGAGTAGCTGGGACTATAGGCGAGCACCACCATGCCTGGCTAATTTTCCTATTTTTAGTAGAGATGGGGTCTTGTTCTTGCTCAGGCTGGTCTCAAACTCTAGAACTCAAGCGATCCTCCCGCCTCAGCCTCCCAGAGTGCTAGGATGACAGACGTAAGCCACCCAGCCCGGCCTGAGCCTAAGTTTTAATGTCAATAACTACTTATAGGACAGAATGAGGAACAAACACAAGAACCTCATGTACTTGGTAAATTAAGTGGGATACAAATTACGGAGTTATTACTATTTCCCATCTCAGATCTGAGCTGCCGGCCAATGTCCAGGCTATACCCCAGATAAGTTCATTTAGAATCTCTGGGAATGGGACCCAGGCATTGCTATTTTTAAAAACTCTCCAGAAGATTCCAATGCAAAGCCAAAGTCAGGAACCACTAATAAAATCTGAACTTGGTCTCTGTGTGAGAAGTTCAGGCTGGGCTCTCCGTGGAGATTAAGTACCAGACTCTGCCCCCACTTTCCCCCCAGCTCAGGGATGATTAAGGGACAAGGCTAATAGGCTTAAAGATTAAAAAGGGAGATTAATTACTGTTCTTACTGCTCCAACTTCACCTCTCCCCTGATACTTCCAGGGCAGAGACTGGAAGGGCCTCAAAGTTTAGTTTAGTAAGAAGAGGGGATTTCTGGGTATGGAAACTGGGGCAGGAGGGGAGACTTACACTGCCAAAGTATTTGTCCAAGAGCTCCACATATCGGTGGATCAACTCCAGCGTGATGAGCTCATTGTCCTGGCCCTCGATGGCGCAGCAGAAGTAGAGACTGGCGTATCTGAGGAAAGGGGCACATGCGACACAGCTGGGAGCTTGTTTCAGGACCCAGGCATTCCAGGCTCAAACCTCCAACCAACCCTGGGGTCTGGCCCCTGACTAGACATAGGTGGGGTAGCCCTAGGGTATACAAAGAGCAGCTCACTCTACCTCTTAGTGCTGTCTTACAAACAGGCAAGAGGCAAGCTCTTTCCTTCTTGCCCTCTGACCTGCTTGGTTTGACTCAGCAAAAACCTGAGCCAACTAATTCACCTGCTCAGAAGAGAAGGAACTGGAAAGGGTATGTGTGTGTGTTGTGTATGTGCCTGTGTGTTGTGAAAAGTGGGGCAGGATTTCTGACTGGTAAATGAGACTGCAAGGGACATGTGCAGTGGATAAGATAGAGCCATAGGGACAAAAGTATGTACCTGAGGCAGGTGGCAGGCTTCAGCAAAACCAAGTGGGGAACAAGAATTTCTTCAAGGGGAGTTTGGAAAGTATAGGAAGCTTTCACCACTGTCCTCCAGATGTCCTCAGCTCCCAGGTCTCCCTGACCTAAGGGACTGCCTTTTCTCAGCCCTTTTAACCCACTGCCAAACTCTAATCCAGCAGGATTTAGGCAGGTCTGAGAGTAGGTGGGGAGTCACCTCTTATAGACAACCTTGAGGTCCCTCCACTCCAGGAAGCTGCACATCTTGGGCTTGCGAGCCAGAACAACCTGCATCAGCTCCCGAACCATCTTCTTTCGCTCCTTGTCTGAAGTAGCCAGGTACCATTTTTGCAGCCGCAGTTTTCCCTGCCGGCTGAATAGCAGCATGAATCGCATCTAGAGGGCAGAAGTGAGGGTCAGAGATTTGGTTCTGAGCCTCTATTTTCGATAAACACATGGCCCCAAACTCATCCCATCTAACTCTTCTCTACTCACAGCTCCTGCTCCTACTTTCTTCAAAAACCCAGCCCCTCCACTCTGGGTGTTCCCATGAGCAGGTGTCTGTCTTGCCTTCTGGGGGAAGACAGAGCTTCTGAGTCTGCCATTTGGGTTCAAATCCTGGCTCTATTAATTATGTACAGCTTTGGGCAAATTACTTGATGCCTCTGGGCCTCAGTTTCCTTATCTGTAAGATGGAGATGATAAAAGTAACTACCTTACAGAACTGTTAGGAGGCATTAAATGAATGGATATACACAACAGTGCCTGGCACATGGCAGGCACTATAACCTGTTAGGTATTATTATTATTATTGTTCCCTGACCTATTTCCAAAGGTATGTAAAATGCCTGGTACAGTGACAAGAAGCCCATAGCTGGTGCCAAAGAGATGCGGGTTCTCTTCCATGCTCCCTCTATTCACCACCACTGCTGAAATTGAGTATTTTATTCCTCAAGAAGCTACCTTAATTCTCTATCCCATCCTAGTCATAAGTCCTTAATGATATCCCCAACACACCGGCCTCCAGCTCCAGTCCTGTGCCCAGGGGTATCCTTCTCCGCATTGCGTATGTCTAATGCCACACATGGGACTGAGATGTCCAAATTCCACCATTCTCTTTTCAGCCAGCCAGCATTTTGGGCCCCTGACATTCTTCTCTTAACTTTTCTTCCTTTTAAGGTGCCTCCAGGCCAGACACCAGGTGACCAATGTCCCTTTCAGTCCCTCAGGGCATGCCACCCAAAGGGCTCCTCTAGGGAATGTTTGTAGAACAAAGAGCAAGCTAGGGGAAGCGGGATGGAGTGCTGAGCCCTCACCACCCCCTGTACCCCTGCTTCCCAGTTCCAGGGGTCTGGGCCATATCCTGGAGTTATTTCCTTCTCCCAGCAGTCCTCTCCATGGACTTTACCTGGGCTGATATCCCTGGGTGGATGGAACAGTACTAGATTAGTAGGCTAAAAATCAGAATTCAGGAGAACTAAGGTTTTTTTGTTGTTGCTGTTTTCTTGGTGGTGGGGAAGGAAGAGAACAGAGGGGCACAAGGGAGCTCTGGGCGGCTAAGATAGGGGGGTGGGGAGTGAGCAGGAAGACGGAAGGCCTGGGTTCCGGAAAGGGAGTGGAATGAGGGGCGGAGAACGAAGAACACCGAGCTCAGGATCCCAAACCTTGGGTCCCTGAGAGCAAGACCTCGAGCCTACTTCGCTTCCGCACCTCGGCCCAGCCTCCAGGCGAGCATGGCCAGGAACCCAGGCAGGGCGATCACTCCTTGGATCCGGAAACTGTCCCCTCCCACACCTCGCTCCCTACAGGGGCCCTGCGCTCCCGTCTGGGCCGCTTGGGAAGAGGGTCTCGGTGACCCGCGACCCCGGCTCCCTCCCCCCACGAACAGACCCCCGCGCCCCTCTCCCTCGGCCGACTTCCCTGCGGCAGTGGTCTGGCCCCCTCGGACCGAGACCCGGACGATCCTTCCGGTTCGGGACCGTCCCGCCGTCCCCTAGTCAACCCTCGCGTCCCACAAATGCGCCCCCTCCCCACCCCTCTCCCGAATGCCATTTCCAGCTCTTCCTTCCGAGGCCGGCTCGCCCACCCGCCCAGGTAAGTGAGGCCTCCGAGGACCAGAGGGAAGAAACAGCGGCTCAGACCGAGGGCGGCCCCCAAGGACCCCTGCAGGTGCAGCCCACGCCCCTCGCTTCCCCCTCCCCTCTCTCTTCCCACAGCCTACCATCCTGCAGCCTCCGGCTCGGCGCGTCCCACTTCGGCCACCGTAGGTGCCAGTTCCACTCCCTTTCTTATCCTTTTTCTCCCGGCCCGCCCTCTCGGCCGAAGCCCCGCCCCGACCCGCCCAGACTGTGAGCCCCGCCGCGCTACGCACTGCGCAGGCGCCAACGCTGCGGGGCGCGCGGGCGGGGCAGGAGGCGGAGAAGCAGAAGCTATGGCAACCAGGTCCTTGACTTCAGCTTTGAGTAGCTCTGTCGTCATGGCAACAAGGAGGTCTGGTGGGAGTTGGTTGGAGGTTGGGGGAGGAAGACAATGAAGTCCTCGCGCTTTGGAGCCTTGGGGGGAAAAAGGCGGGAAAAGGGGTGGGAACTTCAATGAGCGAGATGGGAAGATCCTTGAAGTTCTTGAGAAAGCAGGGAGCTCCAGTGGAAGGGATGTGGGCAATTAAGAGGGACCAGGGTGGGAATTAATGTGTAGCAGAGGAGAAATGACCAGGGAAACAGGAGAAAAAAGGGCAGTGGTGGGGCAGGCATGAGGAAAGTATAGAGTTCATACTAAACATCTACTGAGAACCTAACACTTTAATCTTGTTTTGGGGGAGGAAGGTGGGGAGTGCAGGGTCTAGCTCTGCCGCCCAGGCTGGAGTGTAGTGGCACCATCATAGGTCACTGCAACTTCAAACTCCTGGGCTCCAGCAATCTGGCTAATTTTTTCTATTTTTAGTAAAGACAGGGTCTTGTTCTTGCTCAGGCTTGTCTCGAACTCCTGTCCTGAAGCGATCCTCCCGCCTCGGCCTCCCAGAGTGCTAGTATTACAGGTGTGAACCACCACACCTGCCTGACACTTTCATTGTAAAGTAAGAGAAATGTGTAGGAAATGAGGGAGATGAGAAATACCAGAGAAAAGGTGGGGCTGATATAAAACGGGTATAAAGAAAAGGAAGAGAAACATGAATTAAGGCAAGAGGGAAAGAAATAAAGAGAATCTTAAAAGGTTAGTGTTAGTCAAAACTAGAAAGAGAAAAGATGAAATGCAAACCTAAATGTAAAGATGAGGAGGATGTAAATTGTAATATGAGCTTCGTAGCTGAGTGAATGTGTGTGTGTGTGTCCATACAGTGAACTAAGGAGGCGTGGATACAATGGGAAGAGAAAATCTTAAATTTTGTCATGTCGTAGACTTAATATCTATTTTTAGATATTTTTGGCAATGAATGATGCTGTTATTTTTGAGTAGCGTTTGAAGCAATGGTTACCTGTCTCCACTCTATATTCTTTTTTCCCCCCTTGTTCTTTGTTATGGAGGTAATATGTTCTACTGGCAAAAGGGTGGGCCTAATTCACCTGGGATGGAATGTTGTCTCTAACTCTTACTAAGATGTACAGCCTTAGGCCAGCCTGTCTATCTCCTCATTTTAAGAATGAGGACAGCAGTGTATAAGTTTCAAGGTGGTTCTGAGGAGTAATGTATAGAAAGTATCTAGGACACTTTAATCACTTGATAATGGTAGCTATTATTTCTCCTTCCCAACTTTTCCTTTTTTTTTTTAACCTTTTCTTATTTTTCCTTTCAATTTTGCTTCTTTTTCTCTGCCTACACCTTAGGCTTACCAATGGCATAGTCTAAAGTATATGGTATTACCAATGGGATATCTTACCAATGGCATAGGTGGTTGGCTGAACTATCTAGGTGTTATTTATTAGGTCAAGAATAAGATCAATAAAATAAGGTGTTAGAGTTAGAAAGGGCATAGAAAAGAAGAAATAGAAGTGTGTAAAAAGGCAGAAGACAAAACAAATAAAAAGAAATATGCTCATGGGAAAGAAGAGAAGGTTGTGCATAAGGAAGTATTTAGTGGTGAGGTGACGACATAAGGCAGAGACCCAGGCAACAGCCTGTGGAAATTTGGAAGCTCTAGGGACGTACACTCCTACACTCCTTAGAAAGCTGACACTTTCTAGAATTCCTTGTTTCGATGTGGTATGCCTAACTGCAGAAACGATAAGATTCATTAGAGAATTGTTAGAAATATGGGTTTTGCTCATGCACAATCATAGAATTCAAGTGGTTCAAAGTAGTTAGAAGATGGTGGGCTGGATTTCTTATTTGTTAGTGAGTGATGAAGGTGGAGAATCTGTGAGTTAATGGATCCAATATAGCTTGTGCGCAGAGATGAGTTTAGATTTGATTCAGTAGGCATCTGAAAGTCATTATGATTGTCTGAGCTGGTGAATAACTTGGTGAAAACAGTGTTAAGAAAATAATCTTATAGTAATATGTGGGACAGTTTGAAAGAACAACTGGAAGTGTCGAAGATCACCCAGGGGGCAGTTTTGGGAATCCAATCACAAGAATGAAACAGAGAGGGACAAATTAGAGAGACCTCTAATGGGCCAATCAACTGAAGTTGATCCTTCATCTAAGCAGAGAAGAAGGGAGAAGACTCAGAGATGAGCGTGGAAGATTAGAGGTCCCATTTGTATTAATATAAGTGGAAAAATGGAAGAGGCAAGATTCTCCTTCATAGGTAGGGATGGTGTTTGTTTTGTTCTATAAACGATGCTGATACCTTCCCATGGCATAGAGTTTGGATGTTTGTCCCCTCCAAATCTCATGTTGAAATTTGATCTCTTATGTTGGAGGTGGGGCCAGGCCAAGTGGCAGGTGCTTGGGTCCTGGGGGGCAGATCCCTCATGGATGGTTTGGTGCCCTCCCTGTGGCAATGAGTGAGTTCATGTGAGAGCTGGTTGTGTAAAAGGGCGTGAGCACCCCCTCCTCTCTCTCTTGCTCATTCTCTTGCCATGTGACACCCCTGCTTATACTAGGTGACATGCTTGCTCCCCCTTCACCTTCCACCTTGATTGGACACTTCCTGAGGCCCTCACCAGAGCAGATGTTGGTGCCATGCTTCTTGTACAGCCTGCAGAACCATGGACCAAATAAACCTCTTTTCTTTATAAATTACCCAATCTCAGGTATTCCTTTATGCCAACACAAAACAGACTAATACCCCATGACACCCTCCTGCGGTTGTATAGCTGGTTCCCGCGGTGGTTGAGTGAGTGGCCTGGGAGGCTTTTGAATCCTTTCAGCTCTGTAGGTTGATGATCCGTGTTCTTCCTTCATGTGATGTTCTTTGCACCCACTTTTGGCCCATTCTTTAGCTAGTTGTCTTACTCTGTTTGTGCTGCTAGAACAAAATACCTTAGATTGGGTAATTTATAAACAGAAATTTATTTCTCACAATTCTGGAGGCTGGGAAGTCCAAGATCAAGGTGCCAGCAGGTTTGTTATATGGTGAGGGCTGTTCTCTGCTTCCAAGATGACACCTTGTTACCACGTCCTCTGGAGGAGACAAACACTGTGTCTTCACACGGTAGGAGGGACAGAGGGGTGAAAAAGTGGGGAACTCCCTCTGTCAAACCCTTTTATAAGGGTACCTAATCACTTCCTAAGGGCCAAAGCCCTTAGTACTGTTGCATTGTGAGTTAAGTTTCACATGAATTTTGGAAGGGACACCGTCATTCAAACCATAACAGTAATTCATAGTTCTCTGATTGTGTCATTTGCAGTAATCTCTTTTTTTAAAATTTTTTCTTCTTCTTCTTCTTTTTAATGAGCAATCATGTAGGACCTTGTCATATCCTGCCCCTAATAGTTCTGAACATTTGAACAATTTCTGTGATTGATGTTTGTCATTCCTTTTACCTTCCTCTAAACCCCCGTCTTAGAGTATAGGAATCCTCTATACTCTAGGGGGAGACAGACCAACCTCCCAGTATGGCATTCAGATTTCCAGGTGTTCACTTTTATAGCATTAGTTGTAGGCACAGCATGGACATGTCTGCTGGGCTCTGCCCATCTGTGCACTTGCCAAGACTTTGGTCCAGGAGGGATTGAGGTGGGTATGAGGTGATGGAGGGTAGATAAGACCCTAGCAAATGGTCAGAGGGTCAAGTTCCTAGGGCAGCAGGGGAGTGGCACCAATGGCAGTGTCCTGCATCCACCAGGTGGGCAGGGGCACAGGTGTGATGTGGGACATTGTTCATAGTGTGAGACCTCCCTCCGTCCCTGGTTCTCTGGCTGTCCTGGTGGTTCCCTGAGCTCCCCATTTTCCTTTTGTGCTTCAGTTAGCCAGCGTTGGCTTCTGTTGCTTGTAACTGAGAACTCTGCCTGGTGAACTGCACTATCATGACATATTGTCCACTGGCTGCATATGGGTCTGCCTCATCTCTTCAGTGGTTTGTAAGCTCCCTGTAGGATGGTGTCATCTACACCTGTCATGTCTTCCTGGCACCCAGCACAGTGCTTGTTGGCTAGCTTCATTTATGATTTGTATAGATGGTTACAAGTATAGACATTTAAATCTTACTTCTTATCCAATATATGCCCAATTCTATTTTCATATTTAATATTATGAATTTTATATCTATTATTCCTGCTAGATGATAAAACTGTCTTCTTTTGCTGTTTCTGTTGTGCCTAGTGCAGTGCCTGACATGTGCCCAGTATTTGTTGCATAACTGTATACTGGATCCCCCACTGCAAATTCCATTGTCATCCTAAACTTCACTTGCCAAAAATGAGTTACCTCTTCCTTCCATTTTTCCCAGAAAGCATCTCATCTCTTGGTTTCCTGTTGTCATTGACATTGCTGTCTTTTCCTAGATTTGCAGGCTGTAAGGTTGGGACATAGAGGATAACAGGAAAGTGTGACTTATTTAAGGGACTCAGGGAAGACTGGCCCCACTAGATTAGGAGAAGACAATGGGAGAGTTGCTGGGTTCTCAGAGGAGGGAGCGAGCAGTCTGAAACCAACCTGGTCACTTGGGACTTCACTGTCATGTGTGTCCCTTGAACCTGCTTTGCCATAATTTTTTCTTTGTGATTTTGTTCATGCTGTTTTCTGGAATGCCCTACCATTCCTTCCCTGCAGACCCAAATCCATCTTATTTATCCTCAAGCAGCTGCTCGTCTGACGAGCCTTTTACATTCCAGTCCAGATGGTAGTGACCATTTTGACAATGACATCATCATAGCTCACTGCAACCTCAAACTCCTGGCCTCAAGCAATCCTCCTGCCTCAGCCTCCTGAGTAGCTTAGATTACAGGCATGCACCACCATGTCCAGCTAGTTTTTCTATTAATATTTTTTATAGTGATGGGGTCTTACTATGTTGCCCAGGCTGGTCTTGAATTCCTGGATTTGAGCAATTCTCCTGCCTTGGCCTCCCAAAGTGCTAGGATTACAGGCATGAGCCACTACTCCTGGCCCCTTTCAATTATTTTTGCAGGGACTTGCATAGCTTTTCATTCAGCTTTTTGGTGTCAGTTCTCCTTAGTTACCTGATCTTTAGAGGCATCCCTTACACTTTCTTGTTAATGTTTCACAGTACCCAGTACAAAGTTCGGCTTTTAAATAAATACTTGTTATATTGAATGGAATTCCAGCTTGGCAAGATTTTGGTTGAAGCCACAGCTGCTTTGCTTCAGAGAAGCGCTTTCCATTGGAGTCAAAGCGACATCTGGTGGCTAGGGGATCAACGACTGTGTTTAAAACGTGGCTGTCAGGCTGGTGAGTCGGCCTGCGTGAATGCGGAAGGCGCAGGTACTGGTGGGGGAGGGCAGCACCTTTGCACCTGACCACGTCTGAGCCCTTCTTGGAGGCCAGGGAGATTTGTTCCTGCTCCCACATGCTGCGGAGAGAGCCACCACAGTGCAGTGCAATGAGCAGAGGTGCCCAACCCCCTGGGGCTGTTGAGTAATAGTAGCGATAGCAGCAGGTTACCCAACCTCTCAGTGTCTCAAGTTTCCTCGTCAGAGTTTGCTACTATTATTATGACACTTACTTGAGGAACTACCTAAAAAAAAAAATGCTTTGGAAAACAGATGATGTCTCCTTGACAAATTTCATGCCGATAGAATATTTTTTACCATTGAGGGATTTAGAACACATGTGGGCAGATAATTCCACTGGGGGAGGTTTACAAGAAATCTGCAGCAGTGGTGGCTGGAGGCAGATTCTGTTAGTTTTTCATTTCTAAAGAAAGAAAGAAAGGAAGACAAACTTAGAACAGCTGAGGAAGGGGCCCCAGGCAAAGTCAAACAGAACAGGGAGGCTGCGCCAGCAGGTCTTTGTGTTCACAATATCTTAGAAAAGCACTCAGCACTGTTAAATGGGGCATTTCCTGGAGCAAACTTCCTCTGTGGTGAGGGGCCTTTTGAAGAACTCTTTGCTCTTGCACCTTCTCAGCATGTATGGACAGTTTTTGAACTGTATACTGCAGAACTAGGGCTAACTTGTTCTGCTTTTTGAAGCATTTTGGGCAAAATGAGGTTTTTTAGGCTTCTAAGCAAATCTGTTACAGAGGGGTGGCTTGTCACCCACTGGCCCAGGGGCCTGGAATTGGTCATACTTTCAGGGAGTTTGAAAGCTATTCCTGGGTCCCAGTGGCCTTGAATTCTTGGACTATTGCCTTCATGACTCCAGCTGCCCTATGAACCCAAAGGGGTATGTGTACAAGAGGGTGAGGCAGAAAGAGGAATACTTTAGTATTAGTTGAAGTTTTGGCCACAGGTCCCAGGGTAGAGTGATCTCGTGAACCTGATCAGGCCTCATCTGTGTTTGTAGCTCCGGGCTAAGCTAGCTAACAAAGAAAAATGCAGGCCAAGTGGTCTCTATGGCCTTTTCTTTCTCTAGTACTACAACCATATCTTGGTCCTACAAAGCTTGCCAGTTACATAGTGAGAACAGGAGAGGAAAGATGAAAAACTCACTGAGGTTGAAAGAGCATCTCTTTCCAAAGCTGAGAGTGGCTTTGGTAAGTTACCCATTCCAAACCTCTTGCCTGCTTCCCACTGGCTTTCTAAGGAGAGAGGAAGTTTCTTCCTTCCAAGCTTGCCTAGAGTTTGGGTCCCCTCTTACTATATTGGTGTCATGAGAGAGGAGAAAGCTTGAAGAAGCCAATCTATTTTTTTTTTCAGCCTAAGACTGCAAATTTATGTTCTAGAAGAAGCCAATCTAAAGAGAGGAATCTATGATGAGGGGGCATCTAACACTGTGTCCCCTTTAAGACATCACATTGGAGGCACCCAAGGATGCCCCTGGATTGACCTTCAGAGGGAACCAGGAATGGGAGGGGCAGGCAGAAGTCCTTTTGTCCATGTTGAATGAGTAAGGAGTGAGTAAATGAATGAATACCCTTTCTCAATTCACTCTCAAAAACACTATGACCAGAATTTGCTCCAAGGAAGTCTAACATCATCTTAGAGAAAAAGATAATGTGGAGGTTCTCTTAGTTCTATCTTTATTCATGGCAGTGGGCTCATGTAAGAAAGTTGTGAAGTTTTATTTAAGTTTGAGAAAAGGTAAGATTCTAACCAGGCAAAATGATCACCTTCGATTGTTTTGTATCATTTGAAAATGTTTGTGTTACCAGAATCACACAATTTCAGGATTGGAAGGTTGCTAATAGAGACACTTAGTCCCATCCCTTGAAAGTTATCCTGGGGTACATGAGCACTGGAATAAATGTTTAAGGGTGACATTGTTGGTAACAGCACCACCAATGACAACAGCCCTGAAACAACTGAAGTGTCCATCATCGGTGGTTAAGGAATTAGAGTACATCTGTATATGTAGCCAGTAAAAAGAATTAGGGACAGATGTCTAGGATGGCTCATTAGGCAAATAAAGCAAAGTGTAGCATTCTATATATATCTATGTATCTATATATAATAACTTTATTTTGTGAAAGAAAAGAGTATTTTTTAACATGCTTATTGAATGCTTAGTAAGGTTCTAAAAGAACACCCAAGAAACAAGGGGCCTATTATGCTTCCACTTTTACCTTTTTGAGCGTTTGTCTTACTGTGAGCATTATTTTTCATAATTTAAAAAAGTCACTTTGTATTATACCCTGATCACTGAAGTATATCCCCACCAAGCAGTCATCTTGGCTATCCTTGAATACTTCCAGTGACAGTGAACTCACTATCTCTTAACTACCAGACATTGTTTTGACCAAGAACCCCCAGACCATAATTAGTTTCTATTAAGAAATAGGCTTGGTATCCAGAGGGCTGGTGCTGTCTGTGCTATCTTTAGTGTTCTAGACTTGGACGGCACACAAATTTGACAGATAGTTATTGGTATTTTTTCAGTTGTTTTTTTTTTTTTTTGAAATAGGGTCTTGCTCTGTCACCCAGGCTAGAGTACAGTCATATCATCATAGCTCACTACAGCCTCAAACTCCTAGGCTCAGGGATCTTCCTGCCTCAGCCTCCCCAGTAGCTGGGACTACAGGTGTGCACCATCACAACTGGCTAATTTTTCTATTTTCTGTAGAGGTAGGGTCTTGCTCTTGCTCAGGCTGGTCTTGAACTCCTGGCCTCAACCAGTCCTCCCACCTGGGCCTCCCAAAGTGCCAGGATTAGAGGCATGAGCTACTTGCACCCAGCCTAGTTTTTCAGTTTAAACACTTATTTTTGAATATATGAACAGAAACTAATTGAGGGAAGTGTCTCCTCTGCCAGGAGCCTTTAAGATATTGTAGGACGAGAATAAAAGACTTTTCAGGACTCCGTATTTGGAATGGTAGTAAGAATATATATCACAAAAGAGTCTTGTTTTTAAGGAACCTGGTATTTAGATTGGATTGGGAAGGTAAGGCACACACACAAAGTTAAAGAGCAGACATGAATGCAAGTACTGTCACAGACCAGGGAACAGAAAAGTCAGTAAATGTCAAGTTGAGAGTGATGATGTTGGCTGGATGCATGGGGACACCTTAGGTGGAGGAAATGGAACTTGATCTGGGTTTGGAGAAATGGGGAGTGGGAGTAGGTAGAGGGTATTTGGTGGTGGGAGGAAATGGCATGAACAGAGTTGGGAGTCTACAGGGACAGTGACCATGAGCAAGCCCAGCTGGGTGGGAGGATAGTGGTTGGGAGATCCCTTTTTCCTTTGTGAGGGTGATGCCTTGGGGAGAGTCAGTGTCCCTGCCCGCCATCCACACACATGTCCTTTGGGCCTTGTGGCAGAGCCATGGTGACCAGTCTTGTGGACTCACCCATGGCAGGTCAACGTGCCTGCGCCCATGGGTATAGTTTTCACAAAGGTCCTTTCACCCGAGAGGTCTACAAACCAACAATATTTTTATTTCTTGTACTGGAAGGAAAAGGCAGGGACCGTTTTGGCATATTCTTTGTATTTATTTATTTTATTATTTTTTGAATCATTTTTACTTGTTTATATATCAAAAGTGAAAAAGCATATAATTCAACACAATTTCAAGAGCATTTGACCCCACCCTCTGTGGGTAACTGTGTGTGGCCATTGCTGTCCAGTGCATAATCAAAAGAGAAAATAAAAAACAAAATATGAGGATTTTTCAGTGAAGGGCATCGTGGGTTAGGCTTCTATTAGAGTACATTCATTTCGGATCTATGTGCAATTCTTCAATAAATTAATCTTCATGGCATACCCTCTAGCTAGTAGCTTTTCAAAAAGATTATCTAAGGTAGTTGAATCTGAGCTTTCTGTCTCTTTCACCCCCCCCCCTCACGTGTCCACTGCTCACACACAGCAGCCGGAAATGACACATTGAAGTGAGTCACCAATGCAGTTGTGAGTCACCCTGTAATTGGGGAAAGTTCTGTCCTGGTAGGTCGTGCAGCCCCTTGCATTTCTGTCCCTAAATATATTCAAAAAGTTTGGAGCTACCGTGTCCTCATTCCAGTGTCTCTCACCCACCCCGTCCTTTCGGTCCCTAAAGCAGGCTGAAGTTGGCTCGCCTGGGCAGGGGCCCTGATCCGTCAAGTGGAAAAAGGCCAGGCAGCCACAAGGTGGCAGTGTGGACCCCATCACGCTTGACGCCTGGAGGGCTATGACAGTCAAGTGGCCAGACTCCTGAGATGCACTGACACAGACCACAAAGGAACAACACTATGAGTAAGTTTAAATAATGGCTCCCCCCCCCCAAATAGTCCTCTTTCTAACAAGGGCAAGGACGTGATAAACATTCAGGCACAGCCCTGGCATCCCACCCTCCCTGCCACGAGACTGGGGGCGAGGAGCCAGGCACACATCTGACCTTTCTTCCTCTATCCTGTAAAAGAAAGGGAAGCAAAAACCTGCTTCTATGAGTAAACAAGTCACCTACACTCCAAAGTAACATATGTACACTGTTTCTAGGGAGGGGAAGGGCCAGGCCCGGAGGTCTCAGCGCTGAGGGGCGTGCACTGCGCCAGCTCTGCCCTAGGGACAGGTGGTCAGTGCCAGAACGGTCCTTGAGATGAAAGGGTGCTTCTTCTAGTGGCCGCCTTTGGCCTGTCGCCAGCCTCCTCGGCCGTGGTAGACAGTGCCCGAGTGACGGCGACGTGGCTGGAACACGATCACTTCTACCAAGCACACAAAGGCTCCTGTGAGCCGTGTGGCTCCTTCCTGCCAGGGCCCAGCAGGAACCGGGACTGGAGACCTGAGTGGGCAGGGAGACGGGTGGAAGCAGCTGCGCAGACGGTTCTGTGGGTGTTACGGTCTGGTTTGGCGACGTGCAGGGCCTTGCGCTTGACCCCTCTCCCGGGGTCCCCGTTAGAAATTGGGGAGTTTGACCTGAAGGGCCCCTTTCCAACTCCTGGGAAAGGCCTCTGAGGTCTAGGAGACAGATTTGAAAGATTTACCATTTTTCAAATAGGCAAATGTCTTCTCTTTCTCCAGAAAGAGTCAGTAAAACTAAAATTCTTTTCTTCCTAGTTTCTTCTTTTCTGATACAGTTCCAGTTTTGTCCCAGAGGAAGGCTTCTTTTCCCATGGTCAGGGTTCCATCACTTGGCCCATGAAAAGGACTGCTCCTGAGGGTGAGAGAATGGTGGATTGAGAATTGGAAGGGACAGGACAGCTCCCCGAGCTTGACGTGGATGGAGGTACTGAGATTCGAGAAGACGGGAACTGTCTGCAGACGTCTGCCGCTGCCTAATTGGTGGAGCTGGGACTGCAGTCCTGGCGCTGCCTGTCTGGGATTGGAGGACGCCTCCTCCAGGGAGAGGCAGCGGGACAGGGCTACAGATTCTCGCCCTGGGTCCTCGCGAGGCTGGAGGGGTGTCTATGTCTGTCTGCACTGGTGCCCGAGACAAGGAGAATGGCTGGGAGGACGGGGAATGTGGTAGATTCTGGGCTCACCTGTGGGGTTGTGCCGAACCACAAAGAGGAAGGGTCTGTCCATGATGATCTCCAGGGGGGCCATCCGGCCTGAGACTACAACGGCTGGAAGAGAAGGGACAACGTCTTAAAACAGAGGGACGTTGGCGCTGGTGCCTGGATTGATCTCAAGTGACCAGGGGACACTAGCTTTCCATCTGAAGGCAGTGCTGGGAGGTGATTTTTAGGAGGCTTATTTGTTCTCCTGCATACAAACCTTAAAAGTTTAGGGACGTTCTCTGATACCTGGTTTCCTCCAGGACTACCTTGGTAGAGATGGGTCAGCTATTCGCTCAAAAACATACATCTATCTAAATCCTTTTAGGGCACGTTTCTTTCTTTCTTTTCTTTTCTTTTTTTTTTTTTTTGAGACACAGTCTCATTCTGTTGCCCGGGTTAGAGAGTGCCATGGCATCAGCCTAGCTCACAGCAACCTCAAACTCCTGGGCTCAAGCCAGCCTCCGCCTCAGCCTCCCGAGTAGCTGGACTACAGGCATGGGCCACCATGCCCAGGCTTAAATATATTATATTGTTGTCCAGCCAATTTTCTTTCTATTTTTAGTAGAGATGAGGTCTCACTCTTGCTCAGGCTGGTTTCGAACTCCTGAGCTCAAACAATCTGCCCACCTCGGCCTCCCAGAGTTCTAGGATTACAGGCATGAGTCACCGTGCCCAGCTGAAGGGCAAGTTTCTTAAGTTTACTACTCACTATGGGGACAGCTCAGGCTTTTCTTTGGGAGGTCTTTTCACCTTAGGGGCCTCAGGAGCTATCAGGTGAGGGAACGGGGACCCAGGGAGAGAGGCCTATGCAGGGCAGGGCCTCAGGGTCCTTTCTGGGTTCAGGGACTAGTTATCCTGAGGGCGACTGAGGCACCAGGCCTCCTGAAGCCTTGGGCTGAGACCCACCTGTGGAAGAGGATGCCACCGTGCCACTCTCGTTCACCTCAATCTTCACTTTCTGCAATGCCTGCGAGACGTGCAGAGGCTCTTGCTCTGTAACAGAGGTGGATACACGGGCAGATCAGCCACCACTCTCAGGGAGAGGCCCTTTGTACTCTTCAGGACTGCACAGTCCACTGGGATGAGACAATGAGAGGAAAAATCTCACCTGAAAGATTCGTGAAGTCTGCCTGGCCCGGGCTGAACATGTCGGTCATCCCCAAGTTCTCCAGGGGCTTCCTGAGGTCAACTTCACTCTCCAGGGAGAACCTATGGACAGAAGCAAGAGACAGCTTGAGCTCAGGTCCCCTCTGGCTAGCAGCCCCTGCCTCTCCCCTTCCCCTACCAGCTGTCCCCAGGGGGCAGATGGACAGAAGAGGAACGGAGGAGCAAGTTGAAGAGGAGGCCTGTTTTTTTTTTTGTTTTTTGTTTTTTTATTCAAATCTGTTTGCAAAGTCTCTCTCCTTGCTGGAGATTTCTAATATTCATGATTATTCTTCTGCAATCTCCCCACCCCCTCGAACTTATGACTAATTACTTTCCTCAAATAAGGCAGTAGTTTCAGCATAATTTTATTCAGTCTAGCTGGGGGGCCAAGGGCAAATTCTTCTGCAAGGATGTTTGAGCAAAAATCTGGTCTGTCGATGGTAAGCCTGAAGAGCATTCAAGCAGTGAGGCTTTGGGGCACTCTGCTTCTCACCAGGGCACTGCTAATTACCTCGATTTTTATGAGCCAGAGAGAGAGGGAGAGAGAGAGAGAATGCATGCAAGCGAGAGCTCGCACCAGCTAACAACTAAATTCTCCTCTTTCTCCGAGCCTGGCATTATAGCATCTGGAAGTTCGGCATAGGCATGGTGGGAGGCTTCCCTGTAATTCTGGAATTATCCAGCCTCAGCCTTCTCTACTCCCTTTGCTTCTGCAGAAACATTTTATTATAAAAATATGCTCTGTCAAAACCCCAGCTAGAAGCTGCGGTTTGAGCTGCCCCATCTGCAGAAGTGATTCCTTTCGTTTGCGTTGTTTGGATGCAGACTTGAGGGGTGGGGGTGGGAGTGCAGGCGTCATAAGTGGATGTGGACTGATTGAACCCCCCACCTCCATTCTTTCCCTGGCTCTCCCATTGGCTGGCTGTTACTGGGTGCTCTGGGGGTGGTTCGTGTGTGGCTGTGGTCTAGAAAGGCTCTCCCCTGCTCTCCAGCAGAAACAGGAAGAGGGATGATTGGAGGAGTCATAATCAAACCCAGGCCAGAGTGTTTCCTATCAGCCTCCCACGCTCACCCACGTCCCTGCCCTGCAAGCATCACAGAGCTGGGAAATTCAACATGGGGGTGGTGATTTCAGGCAGCCAGGAGAGAGGGAGAGAGCAGCGTCTGGGGCATTGGTGAGTGTGGCAGGAGCAGGTGGGCTTACTTGGGCAGAACCAGGAGGCGGGGCAGTCTGGTCATGTTGCCTTTCCAGTGGCTGATGAGCTGGGCGTCCAGGATGTTGATGAGGGCCGAGAGGGGCACCTCTTTCTCATAGGGAGCAGCAATGAACATGCTGAGGGTGTCCCCGTGGTAGGGCAGCTCCAGGATGTCGTAGTAATGACCATCAGGGGTGGTGAACTCGGCTATTAAGACACCAAGATGGCGCTTTGGAAATGGCTCCAGCTCTCCTTGGCTCCAACCCAGCACTGGTTTTCACCTAGTTCTCCCGTCTACTCACTCTTTCGGGAAGCCAAGCTCTCTATCCTGGCTTTTGGGGTTTCCCCACCCATTGCTCCCCTATTCAGTGATTTCATTTACATTTCCCATCTCTCCTGCCAATTCATCGTCTTCTGGTTTCTCTGTCTCCTTGGGCCTTCCTCACATTCACTCCCCTCTCCCAGACTCCCACAATCCCCATCCTCTTCACCTCACCCTCCACTGGCCCTCTCCAGCAGGATTGCTGGCCCCTGGCAATTACACAAGAACCACTTGAGAATGAGAGACAAGAGTCAAGTGGGCCAGCCTGGGCCTGGGGGAGTTTCTGGGTTTCAGCTTCCTCTTGCATGAGATAAAGCTCCTTTCTTCTGTTCCTGTCACCCCTGTGTCTACGCTTGGAAAACCTTGGTCAAAGCCTAGGTGTATTCTAGAGTTCCTCCTCCCTTAGAGGAGAACATTCCCTGGGGTCTTCCTCCCTCAGAGGGTGACACTTTAAACATTGCTTGGGAGACCCCAGGGATGAAATGCAGTCGGGGTGGGTGGCGGGGAAGGGGGCTCTTGCACTTACTGTAGTTGAACTTGTTGGTCTGAGTCATCATGGGCACAGACACGGTGCTGCCGTCGGACTTGTGGAACAGGCGCTGGTGGGTGCCCGTGGTGGGGAAGGGCGTCTTCCAGTGGCCATTGAAGTAGAGGGCGTTCACCAGCACCAGGCGTGTCAGCTGGTCCACGGCCCCTTCTGGAAGTAGGTTGCTAATCATACCTGTGGGAAAGCCATTGATCAGGAAATTAGATACTTTTAAAGCCTTTCAGATGGTTCCCTTCAGCTCCTAGTCCTCAAAGGGATGTGTGTTGAAGAGATCCCATCAATGGGCAGGAAGGAGTTTAAATGAACCCATCTAGCTGCTTTTGACCTTTTCTACCTTTCCAAGAGGTACAGAAAGTCTTCCAGCTCACCGCACTTTCTCTGTCCTGGGATCCTGTCCAAGATCAGAGCTAGGGAGGTAACCGCCCTGCCCCCCCCCACTTCACCCTCACCCTGTGTGTGCCCCTTGTCCTGGTTATTGCTGTTCTTATTAAATTTCACAACACTTTTTAGGAATGCTTGCAGAGTTAGCTCATGAGGAAGCCTGGTTGTAACAAATACTAGCTATTACGCTCTGGTTCTTAAAGCTTTTGGCCGCCTGTCCGCAGAAAAGAGAGGGGAGAGCTTAGGCTATATGGATTTCCAAATTCCCTTTCTCTTCCGGCCCTTGGGCAGGACTTCCTTCCCCTGCCACTCACCTTTCGTGTGTGTCTTCACCCAGTCATTGATGATGAATCTGGCTCTGTCCCCCTCTGAGAAGTCCACCTGTTTGACCATGGTCCGGAACAGCCTGAAGAAGTGGGACATGAAGCCCTTGACGAGCTTCAGGTCCCGCTGGACAAAGATGGCGTCAGTGGTGCTGATCTCATCCTTGTTCCATGGCCCCAGGAGCTCCTTGTGCAGTTGGCGGAGGGCAGGGGCCACACCCTTCTCTGTGCCAAGGCGAGCGGGAAAGGACACATTAGGCCCATGTCAAGCCCAGGGCTCCTCGCTGGGCCGACTTCTCCCATGAGAGGCCTGACCCTGCCCACATGGATGGGGCTTTTCTGCTCTTCCAGGGCTCTCTGGAGGGAGATTTCATTCCAAACCTTAATCTCTTTTCTGCTTCTCCCTCCTTTCCTCAAAAGTCTCGGGTCTTAAGTCTTTCTTTGGGTTGGAATATTTTTCTCTCCTTAAATTTTGAACCCTAACTTTTTTCTTTTTTTTTTTTTTTTTTTTTTTTTTTTTTTTTTTTTTTTTTTTTTGAGACAGAGTCTCGCTTTGTTGCCCAGGCTAGAGTGAGTGCCGTGGCGTCAGCCTAGCTCACAGCAACCTCACACTCCTGGGCTCAAGTGATCCTTCTGCCTCAGCCTCCCGGGTAGCTGGGACTACAGGCATGCGCCACCATGCCCGGCTAATTTTTTTATATATATATATCAGTTGGCCAATTAATTTCTTTCTATTTATAGTAGAGACGGGGTCTCGCTCTTGCTCCGGCTGGTTTTGAACTCCTGACCTTGAGCAATCCGCCCGCCTCGGCCTCCCAAGAGCTAGGATTACAGGCGTGAGCCACAGCGCCCGGCCTCCCTAACTTTTTTCTTACAGTAATGGTGATGCTAAGCATTTTGTATGCGTAATTCTATTTAATCTTTGCAGCAGCACTGTGTGGTAGGTATTTTTATTATCCCCATTTTGTAGATTAGGAAACTGAGGCTTACAGGGGTTAAGGTCACACAGTCAACAAGTGGCAAATCCACAGGCCTGCACACCCTTGGCAGGTCAGGGGCAAAGGGACACAGGGTGCAGTGGGAAGAAGATGGGGTGGACCCCAGAGCACAGCTGTACATGGGTTGACCTGTCTAAGCCAGAGTCAGCCTTTTTTTCTGCTTCTGGTTGGTTCGGCCCCTGTTCTGTGACTCCCGCCTCCCTGTCCGCCCCACCTCTCACCCTCAATATCGAATCCCATTGCCGATTGGATCTGCTGCCGGGTTTTTCCTCCTGTTGGCAGCTGCAGCATGGCCAGCACTGAGGCCACCCCATAGGGTGAGAAAATCACATTGCGATCATTGGAGTCCTGCGCCACCTGCTGAAACACCTTCACCCCAAAGTCTGTGGCCAGTTGGGCCGCCTGGGATTCCTGTTGGTATAGGGCGGACCCTTCACCAAAGACGAGGGCCAGGCCCAGGGTGAGGCAGGTGAGGGCTGGAGACATCTGCATCCTAGAGCAAGAGGAAAAGTAGCTGATGAGGGAATCATTCAGGAAGAGTGGCAAGTGGGGAGGGCAGGTGGGATCCGGTTGTGGACCAGGATCTCCTTGCCTATGGCTGGCAGGTAGCATTTGAACACAAGACCACAATACGTTTAGGAGACCACAATCGATGCATTTAGACTCAGCCCTTCCCACTCTGTCTCGGACTGAGTGTTACCAGGGTCAGCCCAAGGGAGTCATAAACCCATTTTCACCTGTGGGAATCGTAGAAATAGCTCCAGTGTATCTCCCTTCCCCTCCAAGGGGCAGAAAGTCTAAGTTATAATGACACTCCTGACTCGCACAATGCTTTTTGGTTCCCTATAATGCTTCCCAACGCCCGTTTCATTCAAGTTAGCAGGCATGAGGAGGGGCAGTGGAGTGTCTTGGTGGAGAGGGACAGAGTCCTTACTTCTGGGTGCTGCGGTTGTTGGTGGGGGGTGAGCACCCTCCCTGCTCCCCTGTGCTCATTGCCAGGCCAGGCTCAACTCAAGGCTGCAGGTCTCTGGGGGGTCGTATGGAGGAGATTCTGGGGAGGGATAAGAGGTGGAAAGAGTTTGCTTTTTCCTACCTGAAGTTCCCAAAGGTGCCTTGTGATTGGCCGTTTGTCCTGCCGCTACTGTTGCTGCTGCCCCAGCTGCTGACTCGTTGCGGTTTGGCGGCTAGTGGAGGGGGTGTGGCTCTCCTTCTGGACAGCGCTCTTGGTCCTGCAGCCAGACACAGCTGTGCTTCTCCTCAAGCCGCTGGCTCCCTTTATACCAGATGTGGACAGGAAATAGATTAACTCATGCTCCAGCCCCACCCACTTTCTGGCTCTGGAAGTCTGTCTGAACAGCCGGCCCGGCCCCCTCAGCACCTCCCTCTCCACGACTTGCCGAGGCGTGTGTGTGCGTGCTGCTCCACGTGTGTACGTGTGTAAGAGGGCTCAGGAACAATTGTACAAACCCCGATTGCCTTGGCCCCAGGACCTCCCGTGTCCCACTCTCCTGGATGTCCTGCCAGCTTGACCTGCGGTGCCAGATGGCGCCAGAGTGCCCTGGGTTCAGGATCACCCTCCCTAGTGCTCAGCTTGGAGAACCAACCTCCAGGAAAGAACACCCCTCCCTCCTCTTGGCCTGCACGCAGCAGCCAGAGGGCATGCTGCGTGCCACGTGTTTGTCTGGGTTTTGTCTGTCTAGGACTCGGGCCCAACAGAGGACTCCCCGTCTTTCCCTCGTTCCAGCCATGTGCCCGCCCGGCCGCCTCCGATGATTCGTGGCTGACTCCCCCCACGTGTCCAGACTCTCTCGGTGCCCCTGAGGGCTCCCTTTGTGTTAACAGCTCTGTCTGGCTGGGGTTTGAGGTGTGCTGGGTGGGGTGCTGGTGGCTGAAAGGGACCAGGGGTTACCAAGGTAAAGGCTCGGCAAGCAATTAGGAGTCCAATGCGTAAGTTTCGTTTCTTTGAGCTGCTGCTGTGACTCGGGAGAACGTATACCTTATCCTTTTCCTCCAGACCCAGACACTTGGGGGCTGGAACAGCAGGAAGAGGGATAGAAGCAGAGTGCCAATTCATAGGGCATGTGTGGGGTGTGCTTTTAGGGCATGGAGGTAAGTGGAGGAAGAGTGACCAGTGGATTCTATAGAGGGTGGAAATTGGCTAGTGACGGGTGAATGTGTAGGACCCGACTAGCGCCTTTGGGGTTTGGGCAGTGTCAGATGCCCTGGGCCGTGTGACCTGGACATTGTGGATGGAGGGGTCCTGCCAGGAAGAGAGGATACGCTTGACCCTGGGGTCCACACACTGTCATGCTCTGTGTAGGGGTTCAGCTGGGCATTTCCATAGAGACGGCCCATAGCCGAGTCACAGGAAGTTTAAGTGGGTGGTAGTGTCGGGATATTTGTTTTGGATTTTTTCAGTAAACAGATACCAAGGGCAACCACAGCTGAACAGCTCTTCCATTTTTTTCCTCCTCAGGCTTTGTTTTCTTGTTCCCTGGAGTCAGGTGGAGGTGGGGGGTGTCAGGGAAAGAAGGGGGAACCTTGGTTGGAAAATTCAGCTCACAAACACTGTTTGTGAGAACTGTTCCTGGGAACTACCTCTGTTTATGTCTTTTTCCTTTTTTTGGTTGTGGTTTGGAGTCCTTGAGCGTGCGGTTGCTGGTGAGGAAGGAGCCACTGCCCTCAACCTCTTGAATGGAGAAGACAGACAGAAGTCCAGCCCAAACCCATCTCTTGCCCTCAGAAATGTCCCCAAGGCCTTGCCCTCCATTCTTAGAGGTCAGAGGGACACAGGGATCTGGGGGTCTGGGTGGGGAGTGCCACACACCAAGGACCTGGAGGAGCCATGGGTCTAGACATAGCTGGAGATGGCCTCCGGGTGCCTGCACCTATCCAGCCATTGTAGCCACACCTCCCCCTTCCTCGTCTGCTATTCCAGGGACCATTGTCCCACACCCCACCAGGCCTCAGCTGTAAAAGTCCCTGCTGTTTTCTGCGGACAGCCTGGGCCTTACAAGGGCAGTGACCAATGTCGTCCCTGCTCAGGGACCTGGAGGATGATCGTGATGTGTTCACAGGAGAGAGAGTTCTACATCCTGATTGGGGTGGGGGCTGGTGAGCATTTTACTTTGGAAACAGAAACTGCTGACCTACGAATGAATGGGTCTCTTCCCAAACTGAAGGGAATGTGTAGGCACATGGTGGGTGTGTCTTAGAAACTCAGGTAAAACCATACCTGGGTCCTCTAGTGTTTCTGATCTTCCCTTTGACTCTGAAGACCTGGGGCTGCCTCTGTGCCCTGGGACCCAGACTTGACCGTGGTCCCTGCCGCTCATCTCCCCGCATGTGGCCTTGCCTCCTCCACCCCTCTTGCCCTTGGAGCCCAGGCCTCCCACACGCCGCCAGGCTCAGTCGCCTGCGGGGTGCCATGGGGGTGGGGGTGCTGTTACCCGGCTGACCTCCCTGAAACACCCTTCTCAGAACCTCGCCTGACTCAAGGGATGGTCACTTTCCCCTTTCCCCAAACCCCACACGAACAGCCCTGACCTAGGCCTCTCTTTCCAGGCTCAGCTCTTTTGCAAAAGGTCAAATGGACAGAGATCAAAAAGTCCCTGCTGTTGAAATAGGTGGATTTCTGATTTCCGGAGGGTTAGAGATAAGGGAGTGAGTTATAGGGCTGTGGATTTTGGGGGGAAAGTTCCGGTTTCAGCCAACTGGGAAAGATGTCTCCATCTGCCCCTCAGCAGGTGTTCGTGACTAGACCAGACTCATACTTTCCGTAACTGTCCGCCCCCAGCCCCACCCCACCCCAGCCCCCACGGTGGAGCCTCAGCGCCATGATCTTCCCGACACCCCTTTTCACCCCTGCTCCCTGCCCCCTGCCCTCTGCCCCCCTGCCTGATCTCTGCTTCCTCTTGGCTCTCCCTCTACACTCTTTCACTTTCCCTTTCTCTCCCACAGCCTCCCTCTTCCTGGGTTCCTCCATCAACCTCCTGCCTCCTGGTCTACCCTGTCTCCTGTCTTCTGCTGCACGGGTCTCTCCCTGTTTCAAACTCTCTCTTTTTCACTCTCTCTGACTCAATCCCTCTTTCCCTCCTACCTTCCAGAATCCCTTTTACAGTCAAATGCTCAGCTCCGGAACCTTCCTGTGGGGAAGGGAGTTACACAGCCTCCCTGGAATGTAGGGCCCAGCTTCCCAATTCTTGGTGATTTCACTGGGAGAGCTGGGGGTGGGAGAAGGCCGAGGTCCTGCTAACTCACAGCACTATTTCTGGCCTGGTTGCTCTCCAAACAACACAATGCCAAAAATAGCCTGTGTTTGGGCTCGGCTGTCTCTGCCCCTCTCTAGGACTGAGCTGAGACAAGTACTGTGTGTGTCTCCACTGCTGTTTGTTTACGATCATGGCCCTGGGACCGCCAGACTCAGGGTGGCCTCAGCCTGTCCAGGGCCCCCCACCCTGCCAACTGGATGCAGGGCTGACGTCCCCTCCTCTGCCCGCAACCCTCTCTCCTTAAACTCCTGTAACGCCCAAACCTGTGCCACCCCCAGCCCCCGTGTAGCTCTTGCTCATCTAAGGTTATTTTTTTTCTTCCAATTATATCAAGAGTTTCAGAGCAAGGGGAGCTCTAAGAATCATTTAACCCAGTCTTTTTAACTGTGCTTAAGGCCACAGAGTGACCGCACCATAAATGGGAGAGTAGTAGCCCCCAGTCAAGGATCTGACACTCGCTGACCATGCTGCTAGACAAAACTTAATCTTTCTGAGCTTCTGTTTTCTTTCTTTCTTTTAAACTATGATTGAACGATCATAGCCTCAGTTTCCTTGTTTGTAAAAGGCAGATAACAGTCCCCATCCTTCAGGGCTGTGGTAAGGACGACATGCAGTATCGTCTGTCGAACATCCGGAACATTCTAGGCTCTCACTAAGTGGCAGCTGCTCTTGGTGGGCGGCAGAGGCAGGACAGGAACCCAAACAGTCCGAGCTGTTCATTTTCATGTAATGCAAGCTCCTCAGGGGAGGGATGTGTTATGTGTTCACTTTTACTTCTCTTAGCATGTCTCGGAGTGTGGGCACTAAGTGCCTTGGAAGTGGACTGGCCAGTCACCCAAGAGGACAGCTGCCAGCCCCTGTCGTCCGCCTCAGACCAGATCCTTTTGCTTTCACTCTGGTCCTGGCACACTCACAGCAGCCAGCTCTGCAGGTTTTAGGTCCCAGGAAGACATTCTCTCTAGGCTTTGGGGTCACGTGCAGACCCTGCTGATGTCCCACAGGCATGCTGATCCCTCCAGCATCCCTCCAGACAAGTCCCAAGGAGGAGGGGACTTGTCTTATCAACAGGTGGGGATGGAGCTGAGCGTCACCTGCACCTCCAAGCCAGGCGCCTTTGGCCCATTCTTTGTCAATTTCCTATGACACCCTCTGACACTTCAGTGGCTTTATTACATTTGCACACTCCTTTGTCAATTTTCTTAAACTTATGTGGCCATCAACGTGTCTTATGGTCCTTATTTCCTGAGGGCATGGGTGCTGGGTGTCGGGCTGCAAGGAGCACGAATGTTCTCACAGCCATCAGGCAAGGAGGAGCCTCCTGGGGCCCAGGGTGGCCACCAAGGGGCAGTTCGAAGGGCAGGGAATGTTGGAGCACAGGTTCCTGGGATAGATGTGACTATGGGGCAGTTGGCCAGATGGTGGTGCATACCCCCAGAGAAGCCCCAGGCCACTGTGGCCCAATTCCAGCCCTCCAGCCACTTCTCTTTCCCCACATCTCTGGCTTGTGACTCTAATTCACTTTCGCTCATCTTTTACCAGAACACATTCCTCATTCTCCACATTCCTGAGTCTCCCCTTATGTGTCCCTCCTGACACCTCCTGCTTTATTTTACATGGGCTGTCAAGTGGGTCTTGATTTCCCCAAAATGGCCAAAGATTCATTGACAATCGGTGCTCGACACAGAAATGTAAATTCCCTTCCCTGAAGGGATGTCCACACTTACTGGGGCAGAGGATCGATGTGTGTGAAATAATGAGATAAAAACATGAAATTGTCTGGATGCCAAACTGTAAAAGTCAGGGAGAGCTGGGCGTCGGTGCAGGCTTGAATGTGGAGGGAGGGCTTCCTGGAGGAGGTGAGGTGGTGCTGGGGTTTGAGGCAGGGGCAGGATGGCCTCGGCAGAGGGCAATGTGGATGGGGTGGGCCCGGGAGGAACAAAGCCCCACAGGGAGAGCAGAACCTATTGTCTCCTCTCGCCTTTGTCCTCTCCTCCAGGAAGCAATCTGCCTGATTCCTTCTTGCTCTCTGTGAGTTTCATGTCATAGGTCTCTGCTCTTTCTGTGTCTTCCTATTTCCCGGAAATGGATGTTCTTGTTCTAGTCTAGATCCTGGTCTGGACATGACTGACTGAGTCCCCTCCGAGCTTGGCGGACATCCAGACTGATGGTGACCCCAGATCAGTGGGGGCCTGCAGGAGGGGGCGGAGGTCCCAGGACGATGCAGCCTGCATGATACAACGCAGAAGGAATTTTCCTCGGCGGCGCCAGGGACGCCAGAGTCACCATTCCTTTCTCCTCAGCTTCCTTGCTGTAGAGGAGCAGGCCTCTTGCGTGTCTCTTCGGTCTGAGTCACCCTGGGCCCCCTCTGCTGTCCTCGCCATTGTAGTGCAGCTGGGCTGCTGGCTCCATTGGATCTGCCTGGGCCCAGAGCCCTTCCCACGCCCTCTTGCATTAATAGTTTCTCGGCTGTAAGTGCTGGGAGAGCAGTGTGACCTGTGACATGTGAAAGGGAGCAGGGACCTGGCGTGGGGGCCACGGGGTGCTGCCTCCCCTCTTCCTCCGACACTAAGGCCCAGAGCAGGGTCTTAGCATCTTTCCTGGGATGGGTTTCATGAGACCTTCAGAGATGCACGGGTTGGACTCTGTCCTTGTCCTCAGAGGCTTGCATTGTAGCTGTGTCCTGTCCTGAGCAACACCCTCTGCCCCTGTGCCGCTGCACACCACGTGGAAGGACTGTCCTGCCTCTGCCCACATGGCTTCCTCCTTCTGCATTTTCTGTGCCTGCTGTCTTGTCCAGAGCACCCAAATCCTCCTTGCCCCTGTCGCTGCCACCCGCGTGGCCCTCAGAGTTCTGCTTTTGCCCTCTGCATCCTCCTTGCTGCCTGCTTTTCCTGACCTCAGGCGGCCCGCCCTGATTAGGAAAGGCAGCACCAGGAGACCCCCGCCACCACGAGACGACCCTCCCCTCCCACTCCGCAGTCAGTCCAACCTGCAGACTGGGCCCGCTGCGCTTGCTGTGGACACGGGGTTTTCCTGTGTCGTAGCAATCTGGGTGGTCACCAGCAAGTCCTCTACCTCCTAGAGGCTCAGTCTCCCCCCACAGACATTTAGGGCTGAGCAAGATGCTTCCTGGAGAAAGAGGCCGACGTGGCCCACACACAGAAGCAGGAGCCTCTGGGCAACTCTCTGCTCCCTGAGCCTCAGTTTTTTCTCCTGCAAAGTGGGGATAATGATGCCACTTCCATCTCAGTCTCGTTAGGACTTCAAATGAAGGTGCGAATGGAATGGCCGACTCTGCTATCCATAGAAAGTGGTCAGTAAGTTGTGGTTGACTTTAAAACATTGTAATTTTTTTTTTTTTTAATGTGTCTTCTCTTTAGCCTGTTGGCTTCCTGAGTGTAGAGGCTGGAGCCCTGCACTAGACGGGAGAGGGGGTGGCCACTCAGGTCCTGTGGCGAGGAAACCCCAGAAATGCAGCATACGTGGCTGGGCCAGGCCCCGCTGGGGCAAGGAAGGCCACCAAGGGCTCTGATCTGGGTCTGGCACTGGCATGGAGGGACCCAGCTTCCTGCGGAGGACAATGCCTGACTAGGGCATTATTACTGTTAAGAACTTGGATCCAAAGCCAACCCCCCAGGATGGCACTCCTGCTGTCCCCCGACTCCCAGGGCCTAAAGCCCCAGCTGAGAATTATGACACAGCCGCCTCCTCAGTCCCCTTCCTGGGAGGCCCTGCTGTGTCCCCCCAGCTGTGTCAGGAACAGGCTATGTGAGTAAAGGCTGATTAGGGCAGGACGAGTAACTGTTATTCACGTTGCAACACCGCCTTGGGGGCACTGGGGGAGGGGGCTAAGACTGTGAGGGGGAGGAGAGCTGAGGTGGCAGATATGAGGCAGCTCAGACCCGACAAAGGGCTAGGGGTTGGGAGGGCAGGCTGGCCTGGGTGCATTTAATACCCCAGGGATCAGACTTGCACTCTTTTCTGGAATTGGCACATGGGCTAGGGTCTGGGACAGGAGAAGGGAGGCCTGAGCCATGCCCCCTGCATCTCCTCTGTCTTCCCCACCTCGTGAAACCCCACAGGAAATACCATGGGCAGGGGAGTTGGCACAGGTGCTGGGCAGACCCACCTCCTGGCTATGACAACATTGGAGGTTGGTCTAGATTGTAGCCTGTCTGTCTGAGCTCCTTGCCCCCCTCTTGAGCCAGGACGGTGTTGTACCAAATCGAGGGAGACACCGATTTGGGAGTATAAAGTCTAAGGTGGTGGGGTGTGTCCCCATCTGTGTGGAACCTCCTTATGTATCTAGCCCAGGCTTGCTCTCTGGGCTCACACTGCACAGGGGAGGGCTTGCTGCCCACAGTGGACATGCCACCCATGGTGGACACGCTGCCCATGGTGGACATGCCGCCCATGGTGGACCCTGACTGTAGTGGACACACCACCAATGATGGACACACCACCCATAGTGGATGCTGCCCATAATGGACACACCACCAATGGCGGACATCTGCCCATGTGGACACCCCGCCCACAGTGGACACACCACCCATAGTGGACAGACATCCTGCCCATAGTGGACATGCCACCCATGGTAGACACGCCACCCATGGGGACATGCCACCCATGATGGATGCTGCCCATAATGGACACACCACCAATGGCAGACATCTGCCCATGTGGACACCCGCCCACAGTGGACACACCACCCATAGTGGACAGACATCCCATGGTGGACACGCCACCCATGGTGGACACGCTGCCCATGGTGGACATGCCACAGGCTCCTGCAGAAGAGGCCCTGAGGCCCTGACCAAGGAGGAATTTCTGCTTCCCTCTTTCTGCTCCAACCCTCTACTGTCCTCAGCCCCTGTCCTCTCCATGAATGGTCAAGCTCCTGGCTGGTGGCCAGCCCTGTCTGGACAAGAGGAAACTGGGACGTGAGGAGCAGAACACTGAGTCCTCAAGAGCAGAAATTCCACCGGAAAGGAAACAATGAACAGGGGACAGAGTCACCCCTGAGGGAGCAAGGGGGCAAGGGCAGGGACAGGGCCTTCCTGCCCCGGGCAGGGTAAACAACTCCAGGCCGGGGAAGCCCCCACAACCCACTGTCTTCCAGGTAGGGATGCTGCAGTCCCCAGGGCTGGAGCACTGGGCCAACCGGACGAAGTGGTACCCTATATCCTCTTTTGCCTTTGAAGGCAGATGAGCTGCTGTGGGGAGAAGCAGGGTCCACGGCCAAGGCCAAGGGGATCGGGGCAGAACTGAAGGAGCTTCTGGAGAATGAAGCCTGAATGTGGCTGAGGCAGGGATGGCCACCACCTTAATGGCCAGTCAGCTACCAGAAACCAAATAAGAAGGCTCTAGGCTTTAGGGCAGGGGTTTCGGGAGCTGGAGCTTGCAGAGCACTCCACTGGAAGTGAAAGAGGCCAGCCCAGGGCCACCATCTGTGGTGCCAGAGGGGAAACCTTCCTCTTTCAGGGCCCAGACCAGCTAGCTCTTAGCGGAGCAGCAATGAGGCAAACTGCAAGGCTAGAGAAGCAGCCCGTGTCTGGAAGTTACAGAACAACTGTCCCCCAACAAGCTCCAGTGCTCCTGGGATCCCCCTCCCTGCCTCCCACTCTGTCAGGGCTGGAGGAAAGAGGGGTGCTGAGGGGCTTCAAACTGGTGCCTGTCACGGCCACAGTCGGATTTGCAGTTGCTCCTGTTGGTTTGTTTAGGTGCCTTGTGATCTGCAAATCCAGTTCTTTTCAAAGTTTGGGGGGGGGGGTGCTTGCCTTTTCTTTTGAGTTTTAGAACTTCTCTTCCCCAAACTGCTGCAGTAACCCAGAACTGAGATGTGTGGGGCAGTTGCTGTTTGCATGTTTTTTGTGTTTCATTGTCCTACTACTCAAACTGGGTATTGATACCACCCCCAATCTGCAGCTGAGGAAACTGACACGTCCTGCTCGAGGTCACTCAGCTCAGAGAGGGGCTGGCTCTGCAGCCCCAGCTCTTAGCCAGACCCTGCCCTGTCTCTCAGTGCCTCAGCTGCCCCTAACCCCAACCCAGAATGGGCCCGGGGCCCTCACTGTGTGCACCCCAAGTCCCCCGTGTCACACCCAGGTCTCACTGGATCACGCTCACTTTTGAATTGTGGCCTACTACGCCTTAGTCCGGTGGTTTTAACCCCTGCCCATTAGACTCACCCAAGAGTTTTAGAAAAACCCTGAGTCCCAGGCCCACCTCTGATGATTTGAATCACAATCCTGGGGTACGGGGGTTTTGTTTTTGGTTTTTGTTTAACGAGCTCTGCGGATGCCTCTGGGATTGAGATCTTAGCTCATTTGGTAAGTGGAAGGAATTTCAGTCACCTGCTCTGCTGGGGCAGTTATTGGAGGCCGGGATCCTCTTATCACATTGGAAAGAGCCACCTGATGGGCTGAGGATTGGTCATTCTTCCCCAGAGCCCAAGGCTGGGTCACGGGTGTCAGGGAGCTGCGGGAGGGGCAGAGGCCATTTGCCCAATGAGTTTTCTTTCCCTGCCTTTTGCACTATTTGTGCACTTTGGACTAGACCCTAAGGAGGGTGGACGAGGGACAGGGAAACTGAGAAGCTGGTGTGGGGATTGGAGGGTCTTTTCACCCTCAAGGCTGAAGGCCAGGACCTGCGTTAAATGCCCTGAAGGAGTTACCAGCGAAATGCTCAGGAGGGGCCTGCGGAGACAGACCCTGAGGAATGATGGTCACTATGGTCACCGGTGAGCCCTGTGGAGAGCCTGCTTTCAACCGCCCAGGGGCACGGAAAGATGTCAGGGCTGGAGACGTGGCTCTCGCCCCATAGGGACTTAGGATACTGTGTGTAGAAAGACAGGCATTTATTATACAGATAAGACTATTCCAAGGATATTTATGCCAAAGGCCTCCTGAGCAACAAATGATATTGGCACCCTAGCCGAGGGGATGTGTGAGCCTTGGGGCAGATGAGGAGGGTCCACGGGCCTTGGTACAGAGCAGAGGAGTGTCAGGGATGGTGGCAGTGTCTGAGGATGTCTCAGAGGAGGAGCAGAGTGGTGCAGGAACTGGGTAGAAGGGCCTGGAAATGAGGGCGCTACAGAGCAGGCCAGGGGATTTGCTCCTTGTGTGGGAACCTGGAGGAGCCGCCCTGTTCCCTGCTGGAGCCCGCCCGCCTAACCCTGATGTCTTAGTCACACCTGGGCCAGGTGCCCCCTCCCCTGCAGCTCTGGGGCGTGATGAGGCCTCCATTATTCACAGCCTGGACCGACAGCTGGCTCCCTGGGGCACACTCCCAGGGTGCAGCCCAGCTGCCAGCTCACTGCCCTGCGAGGACACCCCAGACCCAGACAGGCCCTGTCCTCCTCCTGGGCCCTGCAGCCCTGGGCTGGCCAGGCTTGTGCAAGGATGTGGCATCTCAGGCAGTTGTGTTTCCTTGGCCTAGCTCCCTCAGAGCAGACACCAGTGGAATTACAGGGAAACCAACACTGGGGACTGGGAAATTTGGGAGCTCCCCCTCTCATTCTGAGCTCCTGCCTTAGGCTAGAGCGAACAGAAGCCATTCTGCTTTGGCTGTATCAAGCGTCTTGTCCCTGAACCTAATTCCCAGAGCTGGGCTCAAGGGACCTCGGTCTCAAGTCCTCATTCTCTCAGGAAACGGTGTGCCAGGCTGCACTTGCCCTTGTCTGCCTTTGATAGTGGCACCCTCAGGAATACGGGGGTGGAGGCAGGAGGCCAGAGCTGAGCCCCGATGGAAAGCCCCAGACTCGGGAACTCCCTGCTAGCAATTCTGAGAATCCTGAGGGGCGTGCAGGTGAGAGGTCGTGTTGTGTCTAGAACCCCGGGATGGCTTTCCGGACTGAATCAGGGACATGGTCAGAGCCCTGCAGCAGGTGGAAGGCGCAGGGCTGTCCTTCCTGGCCTGGGTGGAGTCCCCACCCCCTCTCCCTGGCAGGGCTTTCCTGCTCGGTGGACCGTTAGCTCGGCGGCTGGATGAATGGGCGTGTGTGTGTGTGTGTGCACGTGTGTGTGATGGGCATTTGCCAGGGCTGTGTTGTTGCAGGGCCTCCCCAGGCGTCCCTGAGTTTCTAAACAAGCCCACGCTTCCTCTGGGCAGCTCCGTAGCAGTGGTGTGAGGGACAGGCAGTGGGGAAGGCCTCCATAAATGGGGGGAAATTTTGATTCGCCACATCTGCCCCCAACACCATTCCACCATCTGAGTTTTCCCATCCATCCCTTGCAGTTGTGCAAGTTCACCTGCTGTCTCCTCCTTCCACTTCTCCTTCTGGGGGTCCTCTCAGCCACTCCCCCTCTGCACACACATACCCACCCTCTGAACCTTCTACCCGCTCTGTTTTCGTATGTAAGTCTGCTGCCCACAGGGGGTGGGGGGCAGGATGGGGGTCCTCCCAAGGCCTGGCTGCTTAGCTCGCACCCTTTCCCCAAAGCCACCCCCAGCTGTCTCGCTTTTGAACATGATACTTCCTACAAAGGGCCCCACACGGGAGGACACACCGTTCAGCGCCAGCTTGTTCTAGAGCGGTATCGCGTGTGTTCATTTTGTTTTCCCTACCGGCCTGACAGCAGTTTAGGGGTAGGAACTGTTTGGGTCTGCACTTCCCTCCTGGGCCTCTTAACACCGCACAGTGTGGGTGGTGCTTGGGCCCTGGAAGTTGCCTTCAGAGGATTCAATTAGGAAGAAACTCAGTTTAGGAGAGGATATTAGCCCTCTAGAAATTACCTAGGAGACTGTCTGTCTGTGAATATCCCAAATCCAATTAAGTAGACCTGGGTGAAGCCTCAGAGGAGCTGATAAGATTGCGATTGCAACTGGGTGTAGGAGTAACTGCATCCTCCGTCTGGAGGAAAATGCCAACTGAGGAGGACGTTCTGCAGGGCTTGGAAACGGGATCCAGAGAGACCAAATTGGGTGCTCCGTCTCCAGACTAGCCAGGAGAGTCAGTCCCTGTCCCCAAAACATCCATGGTCAGGCCACGGGAGAGGTGTGTCCTGAGGTGGGGTGGATGTCTCAGACTGTCACCGATGGACACAGCCATTAGGACCATCCAAAGCCCTGCCCTGGCCTTGTTCCCATTCCATACTCGGTAATTCTCCTGAGCCCCCCAGGAGAGATGTGTCTGTCTGGGCCCCTGGGGACTGTGGCTCTGCCCCTAAATTAATAAGCTGGCTTTCTGGCTCCTGTTAGTTGGCTCCTGTGGTATGCACACGTTGGCTGAGGCCCAGGTGCTGGACGGTGATGAAATCACCCCAATAAAGCCACCTCATCTGGGTGACCAGCCACCCACCCTCCACCCCCCAGCTGGCCATTGTTGTTTGCATTGGTTACTTAGAGGCAGGGCCCAACACATACTTTCTGCGTGGTGGACTGATTGATGCATGAGGTGGAAGGGAGACAGCCCAGCCCAGGTATTTTGTCTCTAAAAGGTACAGGGAGAAGGCACAAGGCCCCCAGGGGCCCAGGGAGGGGATGAATAAGTGAATGTTGGCTGAATGTCTCCTATGTGCAAGGTCCTGGCTGAGTGTGTTTACATTTTTAATCTCATTGATTTATCCCAGGAGCTCTGTGGTGTATCTTACCGTGTTCACTTTACAGGTGAAGAGCAGAGGTTCAGAGTGGCCAAGTCACCCGGTTGGTAAGAGATGGAGCTGGGGTTAAGTGCAGCTCTTGTCACTCTCAATCCCCTTCTTGGAGAGGAGGGAGGAAGGACCCCCAGAGGAGGAGCATGTGCCTTCTGTATTAGGACAGCGGCTTCTGGAAGGAAAGCTGGACAGGGCATGGAGGTGTTCGTGGAGGGCGCTGCTCCTTGCCAACGCCCAGCATTTGCCCTTGGGAGAGACTTGGCAGCTGTGGTCCTTGGCTGAGAATTAAATGGTAGGAAATGAGCTTCTGGGAAATTCCAGTCTTGATGCTTTGATGAGGCGAGAGCTGGCATGATGCCCCTGCTGGGAACACCCTGACAGACCACAGAGATGCACCCCCTTCTCTCATCGGAACACCAGCTAGGACACCCTTCCCCGGCCACATGCAGCAGCCCGGACATGGGGCACTACCGGGTTTTCTCCAGCACCTGGACATGGGCTGTCCTGTGTCTGGAGGCGTGGACGTGTGCGCCCCAGGTCTGCATGCTTCTGCCTGTTGCTGGTGTTCTTGAGTCTCCGTTCTGTTCCCCAGGGATCAATCATACAGGAGCAGGTAGCCAGGCAGAGCCAAGTCCGCACAGCCGGCCTGGGCTGACTTTTTACCAGCCCTGGCGAGGGCTGCACACGAGGCCTCCGGGAAAGCCATGCCCGGCTTCATCTGCTCTGGCCAATATTTTTCTCTATCTCCTTCCATCAACCTCCCACGTGACCCCATCCCACCCCCCAAAATATATCTCTGGCCCGAGGTGCAGCTTCCCCTCAGCTGAGATTTTCTTTCTGGTGGGGGAACTGGAGTTGTTGGAGGCGTGGGGCAGGGCAGGGACTGGGGGACCAGGCAGGAGATGTTGTGTTTGAGAGCCTCAGGTCCTATGTTTGAGAGCCTCAGCTGGCCTGAGGCTCTGGGGCTGGGCTCTCTCTGCCCTCCACCTGCAGAGCTGGGGTAACGCCTCCTTGCTGCACCCCAAGACTGTATGGGAGGCTCCTTGGACCAAGCCCAGGGAACAGGGGCTCCCCAGATCCCTTCTCTGTGGGCTCCTGGGGCTGAGCTGCAGCCTAGGGATGGCCCTGTCTACCCCAGCACCCAGCACCAGCTCTGAAGGTCGAGGGCAGGGGGAGGTTGGTGAGGAGGAAGATAGAGAAAAATGTTGACCAGAACAGATGCAGTGGGGTGTGGCTTCCCCAGAAGGCCTTGTGTGCAGCCCTTGCCAGGGCGAGGTGAAGAGTCGCCCCGGCCAGCTGCATGGGTGTGGCCTCTGCCCGGCTACTGACCCAGCGACTGGTGACCCTGCACGTGTTGCATAATCTCTCTAGCTTCTCCTTCCTCATCTTTATTTTTCTTTTATAATTAATTAATTTTTTTTGAGACAGAGTCTCACTCTGTTGCCTGGGCTAGAGTGCCGTGGCGTCAGCCTACCTCACAGTAACCTCAAACTCCTGGGCCCAATGATCCCCCTGCCTCAGCCTCCTGAGTAGCTGGGACTACAAGCATGTGCCGCTATGCCCAGCTAATTTTTTCCATTTTTAATTGAGACAGGGTCTCACTCTTGCTCAGGCTGGTCTCGAACTCTTGACCTCAAGCAACTCTCCCACCTGAGCCTCCCAGAGTGCTAATACAGGCGTGAGCCACTGCGCCCAGCCCTTTCTCTTCTGTAAAACAGGGATGAGAGTGTTACCTCCCTCACACACCTATTGAGAGAATCTGTGTAGTGTGCACAGCCAGCAGAAAGGGGTTGGCTCAGAGGGTAAATGCTCAATAGCTCCCATCCACACGCACACAAGTTCATTCACTTACTCAGTGCGCGCTATAGCCCAGCCACTGTTCTAAGGTCTTAGGATCTATCAGTGAACAACACAGACAAAGTCCCTGTCCCCATGGCCTTGCATTCTACCAGGGGTGGAAACTGTGGGGAGAGGAGACACAAATAAACACTAAGCAGAATAAATAATGAAATGATAGAGCACGTTAGAAGGTCAAAGCACTACAGAGAAAAGAACAAGCTCAGGAGGGTGAGGTTACCTGCTACTTACAGACTTTGGATATCTGCCCCTTCATTCACACCTTCCTTCCCAGGAAAAGGGCCAAACCTCTTTTGCTTAAGGGCCTCGCCCCATAGAGTTGCCAGCTCGTCCCAAGGTTATATGCAACTTCAATGAAGGTGACTTGGTTTTAGGATAAATTCACTCATTTATTCTTTCAACCAACAGATATCTACAGAATGCCTGGTTGCGGGGAGCCCAGTGTGAATGGGGAGCCCTTGTCCTGAGGGATTTAGTAGGTGGGGAAAGAGCCATGTGTGGACGATCTAAGTGAGACACCAATCGGGCGGCCGGGAGAGTCTGCGTGTGCCCTGCCTGCCCCGGACCCCTTTCTGGATTCGGGGGACGGCTCCCCCCTCGGCTTGCTTTGGCTGTTTTCTTCTGTAAGTTGGACCATCCCTTGATTACTATTGGGAGAGAGAAAATAGATACTACTATTTGTGAACATGAAGAGATAGTTTCCGGGTCGGCCTTGGGCAAAATCAAGACCCAACAGAACCGTTCCCCACACCCAGGAGTGGGGAGGGAGGCTGTGGCTTTCTGTCCAGCCTGTGCCCAGCTCCTTCCCAGCCCTGCAACATGGCCTCTGTTTTTTTTTTTTTTTTTCTTTTTTTTTTCTTGAGACAGAGTCGTGCTCTGGTGCCTGGGCTACAGTGCCGTGGCATCAGCCTAGCTCACAGCCACCTCAAACTCCTGGGCTCAAGCGATCCTCCTGCCTCAGCCTCCCAAGTAGCTGGGACTACAAGCATGCGCCACCATGCCCGGCTAATTTTCCTATTTTTAGTAGAGATAGGGTCTCACTCTTACTCAGGCTGGTCTCGAACTCCTGAGCTCAAGCAACCCTCCCACTTCAGCCTCCCAGAGTGCTAGGATTACAGGCGTGAGCCACCGCACCCGGCCTCAACGTGGCCTCTGTTGCTCTCTGGGGAGGCCGACCTGTCCAGGGAAACAGGCAGGGTAAGGGGCTGAAGACTCTGTGTCCACAACCTCTTGTCAAGGCTGTGGGGGGACAGAGGTGGCCCCTGCACCTCTGGGGATGTGACTGCTCCAGTGGAGAGGAGGAAAGATGAGGTCCGAGGGAGGAGACTTGGCCACATGGCTGGGAACCCAAGGCCCGTGTGAGTCTGACCACACGTTCCGCCTTGGGGTTTGGAGCTAGGAACAGGCCGTTCTCCTCACAGTCACCGCTCACATGGACCACAGCAGGCTCTCCTGCCACCGGCCCCCTCAGCTGCTGAGTCATGCTCCCTGGGGTTGGCAGAGGCGCCAGTCCAAAGCCGGGCTGACTCATTAGATGATGAATTGCAGAATTCTTATTCAGGCTGTCACCGAGGCACTGGAGGGCCCTGCTCCCCTGCCAAGCCATTCAAAGCATTCCCTGCTCACTTGTCATTCCTTCTCCATCTCCGGGGCCCTGGCAGTGAGGACAAGGCAGCGGCGGGGCGCGTGGGGGTGTCTCTGAGCACCCTCCCTATGTCAAGACTCCACACCACCTCTAACAGGGACAGGAGCCTCATCTGTTTGCACAGGGAAGAATCTCGGATCTCATTTCCTGCACTCTCTCATTTTACAAAGGAGTCACACTTGAGTGACTCGGCCGGGATTCAGAGCTACTCTAGAAGGCAGAGGACCGGTGTCAAGTGTTGGGAGAGTCAGCTTTGGAGTCAGACAGTCCTCCGTCTGAATCTACATCTGTTTATCATGAGCAAGCCTCGCCAAGCCTTGGTTTCCTTGTCTGTGATATACTGTGCGTGCTTCCGGGAGCTGGTGGCCGTGAGGCACGCACAGCAGCCTCGTCACTGCCACTCAAAGGAGAGGCCAGAGGCTGCGGTCTTTCCTCTTCCTGCTCACGAAAACTTGGAGGGGCGGGGAAGGAGGCTCCTTGAGGGGGGTCTTGGAGACTAGATTAGGGCAGTGGGTTTGGCCAAGGGGCATATGTTCCTTGAGCCAGGATGCCCCAGCCTTGCGGGGAGGCTCACAGATGCTACATGCTAGAAGGTACCCAAAGCAGAAAACAGGCAAAGCCCAATGTGGTGGGCACAGGTACCCTCACCTGGGCCCCCTTGTCCACCTCCTACACATCACACCTCCACGCCTCCACAAGATCATACCCCCATGCGATCATACCCCTACAAGTGTAGGCCAGCATGGGCCAGATCACCTGCTGGCTCCTACCCAGGGTTAGCCTGGAAGGTGCACATCTCTGCCCAGAGCCCATCTGTCCTGCAGGAGGGAGTTGCCTGGGATGAGGGTGGGCCCACAGGTGGTGCCTGTGTCAGTCTTGCTCCTGCAGTGTCCCCAAGGAATCTGTGTGGCCCCCCTGAGAGCTCCTGGAGGCTGGCCTTGCTAATGTGATTGGCTTTGCTGCCTGGGCCTGGGTAGTAAAGGCTCCCCATCCTCATGAATCCATCTAAGAGAATATTTGGCTTTTTCAAAAGAACTTTATTAATAAACAGGAAAGATAGAAAACATACAACCAAAGGAATGGAAGAGTCTACAGCACATGTGCTTTATCCCATGAAAGCCCCACCGGGCTGGGCTGGCACAGTGACTGGGCACCAACACCTGATTTCTTGTCTTCAACCCCGTCTGTCTTGGCTGCTAAGGCAGCCAGTTCCAGCTTTCTCTGGAGACAAGTCAGGCTGCCTCCCAAACCTCCCTAATGTCCTCAGCATGCCCAGGCCCTCCTCTGCCTGGTCCCTGGCATTCCTTGCCCAGCACCCCAGGGGGGGTCTCATCTGGCTTTGCTGTAGCTTCCCTACCCCTCCAATCACAGGAGTCTGTGGGCCCTAGAAGACCTATTTTTGCTCCTGTCCTAATCCACTTAATTAAATTATATTCACATTCTGCTACCTTCAATCAAGACACCTATTTTCCTAAGCCTGCATCTGAACTTGGTCTTCCTCCTGCCAAGAGCACCTTCCTGAGCACTCTCTCTGGTAGCCTCTGCCCCAGCTCATCCAAGACTGCTCTATCCCCACCCCTGTCCAGTCTCCCACTTCATTTACCGGCAGCTCTAGCTCTCGGTTTGCCTGCCAGGGGAGACGGTCAAACACCACGATCTTGGCTCCTGCCTGTCAAACCTTGCCAGGCTCAGGTCACCAACCTCACCAATTTCCTCAGCAAACTTTTGACTTCTCTCTTGCACTTCTGTCCTTTGGAATTTTCTCTCTGTGGATTTAGAATATAACATTGCTTTATAGATACATTAACAGTTAGACTACAGTGGAAGAAGAGCTGTCCCCCCCACCTGCCCCCAATGACATTTCCTCTAAACTATCAAAAGGTTAGGCCACTCTTGCCATTTTTAACTTTTTCTAAATGTCTATGGTTATGGGTCCTTAATTAGTGCAGTCTATGTCTCAGCTGGCTTACAGGAATGGCATCAAAGCCGGCCAGTGGTCCCTTCGGCCCCTGCAGTCACTGTTGTGTCTTCAAATATGGCTTCTTCCAGTAACTGCTGGAAAGCAAAACAAAACAGTCTCCTCCAAGGATGTTCTAGAGCTTTTGCCACCCAAAACGTGCACGTAACATCCCCATACAAGCTTATACCCATGGAGGAGGATTTGGTCAATACAAGTCAGGCAAACTTTTTCTTAACCCATACCTTGGATTTGAACTTTATGGTGTTCAAAACACTCCTCTACGCATCTCATCCAATCCTCACGGCAACCCTGATGTACAAACCAAGGCTCTGAGAGGTTAAGCAACAAGACCAGGTCCACACATCTATTTAGTGGGAAAGCCAGCGCTCAACGCAGGCCTCCCATCTCGTTCTCTTCTCGTTTTTCAGTACAAAGAATACAAACGAGGGTTTTTGCTTCCCTCCTCTCTACCAGAATGGAATTCTCCTTTCCCCAGCCTGTGCACTTCTAAACAGAAAAAGAACAATTTATCAAGTTAATTGTCATAGTCCCAGGTGGGGTAGGGGCAGAGCATATTGTATCTTTCACGATGTTCCCGATTTCTTTGCACCTGGAGTTTGAGAACCCCTTTCCTGCATGTCTAGTGCTTTCCGTGGGATTCGCAGGGATTCCCAGGTCATTCAGTTAAGATGGTGAGAATTTTACCTCCAAATCATGCTGTCGCTACACTTCCCATCCATCTTTCACATTTTGCCGGTGTCCCCTTCTCACCCCTACCTCCTTATGTAGAAAGTCTAGTATTTTCCTTCATCTTCCAATACCCACTTCCCAGGATTCATATAGCTTCCTGGGAAGCTACTTGGTTCCCGCATCTCTAGAGCACCTGTGGGATTCTCTTTTTGTAGCCAGGTGACTTTTCATTTCTGAAGGTCTCTATTCCTGCTTTGGCCCCTAGGTGGGCCACATGGACAGAGCCATTTCCCCAGCCAGGACCTCTGCCCACTGCTCCCATAAAACTCTGGAGAACTGCTGTTCCAACCCAAGAGCGTACAGTCCGCTGCAGTCCACGTCTCCCAGTTCTCCCCGCCACACACACAGAAGCAGGAATAGAAACACGATCTCTTCCCTTTCTCTGCTGGGGAGCCCAGCCTTGGGAGGCATATGGTGGACTGTCCCCACAGTGCCCCCTACTGGAGATTTCCCATAAGCCAAGGTTTTAGATAGCTTGGTTGGCTGGGATATGACATTTGAGGTGGGAAATCTCTGTAAAGTCACACCACTGTCCTGTCTCATCCCTTTCTAGGTATTAATTCACTTCACAGATACTTATTGGGCATCTTCTATGAGCTGTCAATATGCCAGCTCTACAGACAGAGCTGCGATGAGGACAGGCAGCGAACATGCCCTCGTACAACCCGTCCTATACTAGTTGGTTCTGTAGAACTTGGTTTCCAGTTGGTCCGAGTTATTTGATCAACTCAATGACACTTCCCTTGCCTTGCAGACACTCCACAATAATCCGATCACCTGAGGGGACCACCTGACCTCTGCAAACCCTCCCAGAGCGGTCCCTTGGTCTGTGGCCCTGCCCAGACAGGCCCCTGCTCTGAGAGCCCCGACCAGCTGGGATTGCCCTCCCTTACTCCTGCCTCTTCTGCAGGACGATCTCATTTGTTCTGACACAGTCACTCTCAAATCCAGCAGTTATTCTTGAATATCATTTGCACAGATGTATATCCTTGAAGTAAATATTCAAGTACATATGTTATGTAATGGATAATCACTGAAGTAGAAATGTGCATATATGGACAATAGCACAAAATAACTCCCAAATACTTATTTACAAATTCTGAACCTATTTCCACTCGATAACTATTCAGATTGACTTTACTCTTGTTGCTGTCACTATGTGATTGTAATTCCAGATTCTCCGTTTTTTCTTGGATTATGATTGTATCACACAACTATTTCTTCCCAATACTGTTCATCATTGTCACATATGGAAGCAACAGCTCATTCCTTTAACAGACCACAATCTACTCCGCTGTCATCCATAGTTGAGCAGTTTCCAGTTAATGACTGTAATATATAGGGCAGCCACAAATATCTCTATGCAAATATTTTTTCTTTGAAATTATTTTCCCAGAACATATTCCCCAAAGTGAGATAAGAACATATTCTTACAATCGTCTTTTTTCCCCCTCTTGTCAAGTATTGCCAAACTGTTCTCCAGAAAGCCACATTTTATAGTGCCAGGAGTCTATTTCTCCACAATATATTCTTAAAAATTTATTTTTAAGGGATGCAAGTGGTTTTGGTTTTTCATTTTACTAGTCTTCACCTGTGTGCATTTCCTCCGGGGTGCACGGCCTATTGGGGGGGTCTTGGAGCGAAGAGACTCAGTCACTGCATATATCGGAGACTTAGCTTTTCTCCATCAAATCAATTCTACATCGTTTTCTCATCTTTTTGGTTTTCTTATAATCTTCGCTATTCTTTGCTACACATACATCTTTAGTTTTTACATAAAACCTTTGATGATTTCCCCCGCTGTTTCCATAAATAAGAAAGGACCTGCACATCCCATCTAGACTTGTCCAAAAGCCCTCTGGTTCCCACGAACGCGCCACTGTCCATCACCCCTGCCTGAAGATCCTCTACCGTAGTCTCTCAACAGCCCCTGGCTAAATATGTCCCCGCAGCCTGCTCAGCCACCTCTCTTCCACTGCTGCCACCACCCAGAGAAAGGATCAGTGGTCCCTGCTCACCTCTGCCTGGGTCCTTCCCTCTGGTTTTTATTCTCTCATCCATCCCAGCCCCACTGCCAACTTCTCAGGTTTCCTTGGCACCCCGCAATCCCACATCTGGCCTCTGGAGTTCACTGGCTTCCCCCAGCAACCGTGGCCCTATAGAAGGACAAGTTCCTTCATTCTTTGTTCGGCCGAGTGAAGGCCAACATTTCTTAAAATGAATTTCACTGGAAAACTAAGAGAGAACAAAAAATAGACTCCAGGAAATGGAAAGACATCAAAACAGCAGTGTGGCCTCGTACAGATCTGACATCCCACGGTGGTCTTGCTGCAGATTGGCTCAGTGGGGGGGCGTGGAGGGCTCCCCAGCTCCGATACTCAGCACCTGGTATTCCAGATGCCAACTCTGCCATTCCCTTCATAGCTGTTGAGGCTAACACCTCTTGACCCTAGCTGATGTTTGCATTTGTTCCCCATGAAGCTCACCCTGTACTTTCCTGGGGGCTGCCATTATCCTAGGAGCTTCCCTGGGTGTGACAGGCAAGAGATGTCATTTGTTGCCATTTTGAAATCTCAGGCCTCTTCTGACCCCACATGAAGTTGTGCCAGTCTGAGGGGAGCCAGGTTCCCAACTCCCTTCCAGAATGCACGTCTGAGCCACCCTGGGCTACATTTGCCTACCCCTCCCCCCAAAACTCCCCCTTGGCTACCCCACAAGGAATGGTTTTGAAGAATGCACATCAGGACAGGCTTACACCTGTCAGAAACCTAAACTCTACAGCAGCAGCGACAGCAGCGGCAGCCACGGACAGAAAGCAAGAGGCTCCCAGCACCCCTGCCACCCTCTCCTCTGCTCCTGCAGCCATGGCCACACCACCAGCCTTGGTCCCCATCCCTACACACCACAAGAGGAGCTAGCAGTTTGGTACTTCACATTAAAAAGTCATCAACACCTGCCCTTCAGGAAAATGTCCTCAGCTGCCACATCCCACAGGCAGCTCTGCCTCCCTCCTGAACCTCCTCTCCCCAGCCCCCTCCCCAGTCCTGGACCCTTTAGCTGTCAAGAGACCGGACCCGAAAGACGTGGATGGTCCCGTTACTGAGGGACACAACCAGGTACCTGCCGTCCACCATGGTGGTCACCCGGGGCTTTTCCAGGCCGTGGTAGGCTGTTAGGAAGTCTCCAATAAGTGACCCCTTCGGGTCCAGGATCACCACCTTGTTGACCTCCCGAAGGGTCAGAAAGATGTAGCCCTTCTTATCCACGGACACGGAGCCCGGCTGGCAGCCGTGCAGGCCTGGGCCCCTGTATTCTCCAATCACCTGGCCCAGCCCGTCACAGACCACCACGCTATTCTGCTGCCAATCCGACCCCACGAAATTGCCCTGGGGGCTGGTGGTCAGGAACACCAATGCCCGCAGGCCCCGGTTGGCCTTGCCCCCAGGGATGAACCGAGTGGCCAAGCTGCCCTCCATGTTGTACACCTCCACGTGGCCTGCCACGCTGACGGCCACACGGTCCCCACTCGGCAGTGCAGCCACGGCGTGGCTGGCCTGGGAGAGGCTCAGGGCCCGGCGCCACTGCACCTTGCCATTAGGGCTGATGAGGTAGAGCCTTGCGCCAGCTGAGAAGGCCACGGCGCCCTGCAGGGCGGCCACACTGCAGGGGGAGCAGCCCTCAGGGACTGGCACGTTGCCCTTGTAGTCGCCATTGAGGGAGAAGCGTTTCAGCGCCCGGTTCTGCTCATCTGCCACCAGGATCTCCCGGGGGCCAAAGGGACAGAGTCCAGTGATCCGGGGGGACCGCTTGTCTCCAGGCATCCGCGTGGGGAAGCTGCAGGAAAAGATGGGCCTGGGAAGGAGGCCAGAGCCCTCCAGGTTCAGCCCGGCTGCTGGGCTGGGCTCCCGGGAAATTGACTTGAACCTGCCTTTGACCCTTCTCTTCTTGTTGCACATGCCGCCCTTCTGGTGCTGGCCTTCTCCTTCCTCATGGGGCATCTGGGCTCTGTCCTTTTCAGGGGTCTGGGTTCCATCATCTCGGGGAGTCTGGGCCCTGTCCTCTTTCGGGGTCTGCGCTCCATCCCTGCCCTGGGGCCGCACTCCATTCTGTGTCTCGGCCTTGGCCGCACCCTCTGTCTGGCTCTGCGCCTCATCGCCCCCCTGGGCACCAGCTCCATCTTTCTCACTGTCAACCTGGGACTGCTGCGCCTCAAAGGAGAGCCAAAGCAGGTGGCAGTTCTTGTCCAGGAGCCCGGGATGGAGCTCCAGCTGGGGCAGCAGGCAGGGGGCTGGCCCAGGTGTCCAGGGGCACCCCTGCAGCTGCCGCAGCCTCTGGGCAATCGCCCCTTCCAGGGAGAGGATCTCAGCCTCTCGACCCAGGCTGAGCACCCGGTGGGCGAAGGCCGCTGCCGCCCTGGCCACCTGTTCGTGGCCCTCGAGCTCCGCCAGCCTTTCCCGAGCTGCCTCCTCGGCAGCCTCCACGTGGGCCCGTAGCTGCCCCAGCACCTCCTGCTTCTGGGCCAGGAGGGCCCGGAGGACCCGCTCGGCGGCCTCCTCCACCTGTGTCCCCACCCGGGCTGCCTGCTCCCGCAGCCGGACCAGTGCTTCCTTCTCCACCATCCGGGCTGCCTCCAGCTCCACCAGGTTGCTGTCCACACCTGCCAGCAGCTCCTCTAGGCCAGGCCTCCGGGCACGCACGGCCTCGGCCAGGGGCAGGCAGGGGTGGTCCAGGTGGGGGCCCAGGCGGCACTCTCGGCACAGCAGCTGGGAGCAGGGCTGGCACAGGAAGCGCAGCGCCTCCCCGGGGTGCTGGGGGCACTGGGCTGCCTGGCGCTCCCGGGCCTCCTCATCGTACCACCCCGCCCTGTAGCCCACCAGGTCCACCACCCGGTGGGTGTGGGTCTGGCGGGTGCAGCGGTGCCCGTCGGCACAGGCCTGGCACAAGTCATCGGCGCAGTCCAGGCACCGGGCTGTGGCTGGCCCCCCGGCACTGGTGCCCCCCACCAGGGGACACAGGGCACAGGCTGGCTTCCCTGCACGCAGGTCTCCACAGGCCCGGGCCTTCACCAGGTCCAGCAGCCCATTGACAAAGAAGTTGGTCTTGAAGGCGGCCACGCCCGTGGGTGGCACGGGCACAGTCTCACGGCACTCAGGGCAGCGGACATGGCCGCCCTCGGCCAGCTGGGCCAGGCAGTCCTGGCAGTAGGTGTGCAGACAGGGCAGTGTCTTGGGTGTCCGCAACTGCTCCAGGCAGATTTTACAGGCCAGGAAGTCACTGCTCAGGGCCTCCAGCAGGGAGGGTGATGATCCATGGGACACCATCCTACAGGCAGGGGGTCAAGGCCATAGGTCAGAGAGCACCCTCCCCCACCCCAGTGCCTCCAGCCTGGCCCTCTCCCTTCTGCCCCAGGGTCTCACCTGAATGACCAAGAACTTCTGGTCTCCTGAGGCCTCGGGCTATTTGCTCTTAAGCTAGGGAGCCGCCCCTCCCCTCCTCCTGGTGTACATTCAGCAAATGTAGAAACCTCAGTGCTGCTGATAGTGTCAGGCCTGTGAGAAATGACAAGACCAGAAGTCCACAAGCCTCAGGGCAAGTGCGGTCCAAGCCCTCCTGTGTGCACGGGTCCTCAGGTTGCGCTGCATGGGGTGCCATGCCGGGGCAGGCCGGAAGGACACAGAATGGGGTCTGGCTGGGCAGCCCACCTTGATCCTGGCAGCTAGGGTGGGGTTTTGCAGTACAAGAGGCCGTAATCCCCCCAGCCCCACACACCTGTCTTCTGCTAGACCCTGGGGCAGCATGGGATGCCCCACTTCCTGCCCCCACTTATCCTGAAAGGGACTGTGGAGATAGCAGAAAGAAGCCTGAGGGGAAGGGCTGCTCTCCTTCCAGCTGCTTGACCTCAGGGGTGGCCTTGGACTTGGCTCAACTCCTGGAGTGCTTTTCTCTTAGCCTTCTCAGCTGAATGCCTTCCAGAAACCTCTGGAGGGGAGGAGTCGGGAGCCCCAGCACAGTGGCTGAGAAGTACTTGATAAGGAGACTTGGAGAAGTGTCCCCTTTCCCACGGCTGGCAGAAGAGCTCAGCGAGTGGGTGGGGGTCTTCCTGGGGGGAGCCCCAGGCCTTTGGCTTCAGAAAGGGGAGGGAGTGCTGCTTCTCGCCTGCCCTTGCCTCCTGCCACCTCCTGCCTTCCGGGTGCCTCTTTCCCTTCTCCCTCCCTTCCTCTCCCTCTCGCGCTTTCCACTCCCTCCCTTTGCCTGCCAGCCCTCCCCCCACTCCCTGCAGGTCAGCCCTTACCTAGCCAGAGCTGACCTTAGCCTTCAGGACTGCAAGGGGGCCGGGGTCTGGGCGCCGATATTGCTGGGCTCCTGGAAGAGAAACAAAACTGAAACTAATCGTACTTGTGGTGCAACTTCCGTCCGGGCCAGGGACGCGGACTGGCACAGGCTTAGGCCCCGCCTTCTTCCCCACCCCAGCGGGGCCCTCTCCCTCGGAGGCCCCCGCTCCAGCACCAGGTGTTCCTGTCCCTCCAGCCTCAGGGAACTGCCTGAGAACCTGCTCTCTGAGAGTTTGTATGGAGGATCAGAGAGTTTGTTTGTGGGAAGCAATTAGAGCTCTTCAGTGACTCAGAGACTAGGGTTACGCCACGTCCTCAGGCCAGGTCTGCAGTGTTAACACCCCAGGCAGGCGTTTCTCTGTAATTCCAGCCCTGGGTGAGGCTCTTCATTCCTCACACCTTTGCTCAGCTGCGGGAGAGGCTGTGGGGAGGGATAGAGAGCCTGGGTCTGAGAGATCAGCGAAGGCTTCCTGGAGGAGGCACCTGTTAAGATAAGATCTGAAGAGGGCACAGAGGTTTGGGGTTCACTAGGGAGAAATTAGGGCAGAGCTTTCTGGGAATCGGGAGCCACAAGTGTTGGGTACGGAGGAATGCACTGACTGAGTGGCTTCAGGTAATATGATTTAGGATGGTGTGTGTGAAGGGGATGTGAGTGTGGTGGCAGATGAGCTTACCCACGAAGGCTCCAGCTGGATCATAAAGGGCCTTATTATATTTTATGTGCAGGGTCCGTGTTTTATCAAAAAAGCCCAAAGACCCATTGAAGGATATTTTGCCCAACATTCCATGAAAAATTTGAATAACAGAGAAGTTGAAGGCATTGCAATGAATGCTTATAAACCCACCACTTAGATTCTACAATGATCGTTTCCTGTAGTTGATTCATCACGTTTCTGTCCCTGTATGTATCCCTTTGTCCACACGATGGAATTGAAGCAGGAAACTGAACTGTGGAAAACTCACTCTGGCAATAGTCTGGAGAGCAGAGGGAGCCTGATCCCAGGGTCCAAGTGAAAAGTGGAAGGGCTGAAACACAGATGCCAGAGAGGTAGGTGGAAATACAGGGAGATATGGTCACAGAAGCCATGGAAAATCCTGCACTTCCAAAAGGAGGAGGGGTCATCACTGTTGAATGCTCCAGACCAGAAGATCAACCAAGATGAGGACAGAAAAGTGCGTTGGTGCTCGTGTGTCCATAAGTCTATGTGTGCACCTCCCTGCACATGCCACGCCCATGGCCTCTCTGTGTGCTCATGTGTGCACCTTCCAGGGAGATTGTTGAATGCCTACCGAGGCCAGAGAGCATGCCGTGTACTGTAGAATATGCAAAGATAAACAAGATACACTCCTTGTCCATGGGGAGTTTCTAATCTCACAGGAGAGGTGCAAGAGGAGGCAGAAAGATAAAGGCCAGGTAAAGGTGTCAAAATAATCACCCTAATGGCATACTTTTTTGGGGGGGTACTTGCCATGTGCTTGGCATGGGGTATTGTAAGCAGAACCCAATTTAATCCTCACAATAGCCTGGCCAGATAGGTATAATTTTTGTCTTCTTTTACAGATGAGGAAACTGTGTTGTGGAGAAATAAGTAAGTCACTCAAACTCGCATAATGTGCTATGGGAACGTGGAAGTAGGAGAGTGTGATTTCTTCTAGGAATGGTGATGGCATGGGAATCAGGAAGGCTTCATGGAAGAGGTGGCATTATGATGGTTGCCCTCCACCCCCCAACACTGAACAATTGTTTAAAGCGCCTACAATGTGTGCCAGGCCCCAGGGAGAAAGGTCCCCAGGTGCCCCACCCTCAGAACAGACTCCTAGGTCCCAACTGTAGCCCGGGAATAAGTGCTACCATGAAGACTGTAGATAGAGGGCGCTCAAAGCCCTGGAAGAGGAGGAGCTTGGTGCTGCTGGGAGGTGGGGGTGGAGGGGATCTTGCTGACGCTGGGGGCTCCTCAGGGTGGATGGGGGAGGGCTTCTCAGCAGGGACCACAGGTGGCCAGCCTGCTAGAAATTGGACTGTGAGTGGGTGCAGGGAAGGGGCTTTAATATTTCCTGTTGAGAATCCTATAAGGCCTTAAGGTCATGGGGCGCCATTATAGGATTTTCACTGGGCAAGTGTGGGCTTTGTTCTCTAAATATTAGAGGGGGTGGCCAGCAGAGGTTTGTAATCTCATTTATTTATTTATTTTTGAGACAGAGTCTCACTGTGTTGTCCAGGCTAGACTGACGTGGTGTCAGCCTAGCTCACAGCAACCTCAAACTCCTGGGCTCAAGCAATCCTTCTGCCTCAGTCTCCCGAGTAGCTGGGACTACAGGCATGCGCCACCATGCCCGGCTGATTTTTTTCTAAATATTTTTAGTTGTCTGGCTAATTTCTTTCTATTTATAGTAGAGACAGGGTCTCACTCTTGCTCAGGCTGGTCTCAAACTCCTGACTTGGAGCAATCCTGCCTTGACCTCCCAGAGTGCTAGGATTACAGGCACGAGCCAGGGTGCCCAGCCTATAATCTTAAATTATAAAACTAATGAAGGTAATTTAAAATAAGACTCAAAACACTGATATCATCATTGTAGCACAGTAACTATTTCTTCCTTTTGGTTTCTGTCTTTCTGAATATATTTTACATAATTGTCTTTATAGTGTATATATACTTTTTGTGTATAAACATAATGTTGTATCAGCTGTTCAGCAAAGTTGGGGGAAACCGTTGCTCTGGCCTGAGCCCTGCACTAGGGCCCAACAGATCAGCCCAAACCAAAATGGAGTCACTCGCGCCAAATGCCACGTACTCAAACAGAAACTTTCAGGAAGCAGATAGATCCCCAAACAGACCAGGTTTTTCTTTAAAACAGGAGATTCTAGTCTACCTGAGTCACTATAATAAGGAAGTTCCCCCTACTCTAACCTTACAAAAAGTAACCTGAAGTAACTCGATATTAACCAACTAATTTTTTTTCTATTATTGTTTCCTTATTCCTACCTTACAAAACCCACTGTTGTGCTATTTTGTAGAATGACAGGCTGCCCCATTCATGAATAACAAATAAAAACCAATTAGGTGCCTGTAATCCTAGCACTCTGGGAGGCCGAGGCTGGCGGATTGCTCAAGGTCAGGAGTTCGAAACCAGCCTGAGCAAGAGCGAGACCCCGTCTCTACTATATAAATAGAAAGAAATTAATTGGCCAACTAATATATATAGAAAAAATTAGCCGGGCATGGTGGCACATGCCTGTAGTCCCAGCTACTCGGGAGGCTGAAGCAGGAGGATTGCCTGAGCCCAGGAGTTTGAGGTTGCTGTGAGCTAGGCTGATGCCACGGCACTAACTCTAGCCTGGGCAGCAAAGAGAGACTCTGTCTCAAAAAAAAACAAAAAAAAAAACCAATTAGGTCTATAACTAAATTTGTCCTAACAGTGTCTTTTGACACATTTTCTATGTTTCTACAAATACATATTCTTCAGAGTTATTGTGTTAATGGCTGCATAAATTATGTACATTAATTGATTTAACTATTCAGTAATATGCTGGTAAACTGACCCCCTCTCTCACCTCCCCCCAAAAAAACACTGATTTGTAGCTTTTGCCAATTTCTGTAATGTAAACATGGTGTAAATACTCCCAGCATGGTTGGTTTTGTACCACCAATGATTTAACAATCAGCCTGCAAAATGCCTAAAATTTAACAATGAGCTCTCCACAGCCAGTACCCTTTGGAAGTTTTTAGAATGTTCTCTTTATCTCAGGGATGAGAACATTCTGCTGGGCATTGGGTGGCTGTTTTCAGTCTTCCAACACGTTCCCTTGAGGTCTGGGAAGTTCTGGAGTGTTTTGTTGCTCTCCTCCCACCTGCTTCTCTGTTTCCTCCCCTGGGACACCCCCTTCAGATGTCGCACCTCCTGGGTGGCTCCTCTAATTTTATATTTTATTTTCCATTTCTTTCGCTTTTTGTACTGTTTACTTGGAGATTTCCACAACTTAAGAATGGAACCCTTCTATTGTGTTTTTCAAATCTGCTGTCATAGTTTTAATTCATGAGTTCCTTTTTTTCTTTTTTTATACTATATTTTTACTTCACAAAATCAATATCTTACCTCTCTGAGGATTAATGATAGTGTTGTGTGTATGTGTTATTTTCTTTTCCTTACATAGTTTCCATTTCCTATAAATTATTGTTTCCTTCCTCCCTCCCACGTATGTATTTTTTTTATAGACAGGGTGTCACTCTGTCGCCCAGGCTGGAGCACAGTGGCGTGATCACAATTCACTACAACCTCAAACTCCCTGGCTCAAGCCATTCTCTTGCCCCAGCTAGTATTTTATATTTTAAAATTAGCTTTAAGGCTGTGGTGCAGTGGCTTACGCTGTAATCCTAGCACTCTGGGAGGCTGTGTCAGGAGGATTACTTGAGCTTAGGAGTTTCAGACCAGCATGAGCAAGAGCAAGACCCCATTTCTACAAAAAAAAGAAAAGAAAAGAAAAATTAGCTGGGCATAGTGGTGTATGCCTGTAGTACCAGCTACTTGGAGGCTGAGTCGGGAGGATCGCTGAGCCCAGGAGTTTGAAGTTGTAGTGAGCTATGATGAGGCCACTGCACTTCAACCTTTTTGACAGAACGAGACGCTGTCTCAGAAACAAAAACAAAAATAATATAAAATAAAGTTAGCTTTAGGCTGGGTGTAGTGACTTACACCTGTAATCCTAGTGCTTTGGGAGTCCAAGAAGGGAGAATCGCAGCAATCTTAAACTCTTGAACTCAAGTGATCCTCCTGCCCAGCCTTCTGAGAAGCCTAGACTACAGGCACGTGCCACCATACCCAGCGAATTTTTTCTATTTTTTAGTAGAGACAGGGTCTTTCTCTTGCTCAGACTGGCCTTGAACTCCTGACCTCAAACAATCCTCCCACCTTGGCCTCCCAGAGTATTAGGATCGCAGGCAGAACCACTGCACCTGGCCAGAGTACACATTCTTTGTAGCAGGCTATACCATCTAGATATGTGCAAGTACACTCCGATGTTCACACAATGACAAGTAACCTAACAATGCATTTCCCAGGATGTATCCCCATCATTAAGCAGCACATGACTGTATTTGTCTGCTAAATTTAATATCCAGTCCCACTCAGAATTAGTTTCTATTAACTACTTTTCTTCCTGAGAATGAAACACAGTTTCCTATTATTTTTAGTTTTTGGTGCCAAGAGTTGC